GGGCTTGGGTCTGCGCCTGTCCCCACCCCACGCCACCTGCCGGGGCCTGACCCGCTCCCTCAGCCGGGGTCGCCGGCTGCTGGCAAAGGGCAATCGAGTGTGACATTCCCAGCCGTCGTGGGCCGGGCGGTCCCTGTCGCAATCACGTAACACAATCCCTGGTGCACAGTGCACAGCGGACGCCGGCCGAGCGCCCGGACACCTTCCCTCACGGCCCCTGAGACCTTCACGGGCCACCAAGTGGACCTTTCGTCTTTTCTTTCAACCTTTAAACATGTACAAGCTGCCCGGCCGGCGTGGCTCAGGGGTGGAGCATCGACCTATGAGCCAGGAGGTCACAGTTCGATTCCCGGTCAGGGCACAGGCCCGGGTTTCCGGCTCGATCCCCGGTGTGGGGCCTGCAGGAGGCAGCTGATGCATGATCCTTTCTCATTGACGATTCTCTCTCTCCCCCACTTCCTCTCTCTGAAATAATTAGAAATATATTAAATAAATAAATGAAAGTGTTGAATCGTCCCGTAAAGCTTTCACAGGCACGGCCTGGCAGTGTTTACAGGGCAAACCTTGTTTAAAAAGGGGACGTAACAGGTCGAATGCCGTAAACATAACTTTACGGTTTTAAAACACTTTGAGGCTCATTTTCACGGACTTAAAATATAGAAATGCCTTTGGTGTGAGGTGGGGGCGGACGTGACCCCAGTGGGTCTCACGGGGTCTGGCCCCTTCCAGAGCGGAGGACACTGACCTCTATCCGGGTCCCCAGAGCCCGCTGGGCTCCTGACTGGTCGACGCTGACTGTCCCGTGTCCGCTGTCCCCGGCAGCACTGTGTGACCCCCCCAGGACTGGGGGGCAACTTCAAGGACCCCCCCACCCCCCCACCCCCGCAACCCCAAGGAAAAGAGGACGCAGAAGGGCCCTTCTAGGTGTCACTCGGGCCGGCAGCTCTGCCTCCCTGCCAGCCGCGTCGCTTCCAGGCTTCCTGGGGACGAGACGCGAGAGAAGAGAAACATTGCGTTCAGCTCTGAAAACATCACAAGGCAAATACATCCCACGCGGACGAGGAGGCTCCAAGTGTGAGCACAAATAACGGCGTTCAGCCCCGCAGCCCGCTCACGCTCACACACTCACACACACACACATGCACGCTCACACACACACACATGCACGCTCTCACGCTCACACACTCACACACACACACATGCACGCTCACACGCACGCACACACACGCTCACACACTCACACACATGCATGTGCTCACACGCACACACACTCACACACACTCGCACGCACGCGCGCGCACGCTCACACACTCACACACATGCATGTGCTCACACGCACACACTCACACACACTCACGCTCACACTCACACACACTCACACACACTCACATGCACACTCACACGCACACACGCTCACACACACGCTCACACATGCACATACTCACACACTCACATGCACGCTCACACGCTCACACACACTCACACACACTCACACGCACGCACACACTCACACACACTCGCATGCATGCTCACACGCTCACACACACTCACGCTCACACTCACACACACTCACACACGCTCACACATGCACATACTCACACACACTCACATGCACGCTCTCACGCTCACACACACTCACACGCACGCACACACACGCTCACACACTCACACACATGCATGTGCTCACACGCACACACTCACACACACTCGCATGCATGCTCACACGCTCACACACACTCACGCTCACACTCACACACACTCACACACACTCACATGCACACTCACACGCACACACGCTCACACACACGCTCACACATGCACATACTCACACACTCACATGCACGCTCACACGCTCACACACACTCACACACACTCACACGCACGCACACACTCACACACACTCGCATGCATGCTCACACGCTCACACACACTCACGCTCACACTCACACACACTCACACACGCTCACACATGCACATACTCACACACACTCACATGCACGCTCTCACGCTCACACACACTCACACGCACGCACACACACGCTCACACACTCACACACATGCATGTGCTCACACGCACACACTCACACACACTCGCATGCATGCTCACACGCTCACACACACTCACGCTCACACTCACACACACTCACACACACTCACATGCACACTCACACGCACACACGCTCACACACACGCTCACACATGCACATACTCACACACTCACATGCACGCTCACACGCTCACACACACTCACACACACTCACACGCACGCACACACTCACACACACTCGCATGCATGCTCACACGCTCACACACACTCACGCTCACACTCACACACACTCACACACGCTCACACATGCACATACTCACACACACTCACATGCACGCTCTCACGCTCACACACACTCACACGCACGCACACACACGCTCACACACTCACATGCATGTGCTCACACGCACACACTCACACACACTCGCATGCATGCTCACACGCTCACACACACTCACGCTCACACTCACACACACTCACACACTCACATGCACACTCACACGCACACACGCTCACACACGCGCTCACACATGCACATACTCACACACTCACATGCACGCTCACACGCTCACACACTCACACACATGCATGTGCTCACACGCACACACGCACACACTCGCATGCATGCTCACACGCTCACACACACTCACGCTCACACTCACACACACTCACACACGCTCACACATGCACATACTCACACACACTCACATGCACGCTCTCACGCTCACACACACTCACACGCACGCACACACACGCTCACACACTCACATGCATGTGCTCACACGCACACACTCACACACACTCGCATGCATGCTCACACGCTCACACACACTCACACACACTCACATGCACACTCACACGCACACACGCTCACACACACGCTCACACATGCACATACTCACACGCTCACATGCACTCACACGCGCACACACTCACACACATGCATGTGCTCACACGCTCACGCTCACACTCACACACACGCTCGGGCTCACACTCGCGCACGCTCACACTCGCGCTCACACTCACACACACGCTCGGGCTCACACTCGCGCTCACACTCATGCTCCCCAGGCTTTCTCGGAAGGAAGCTGGGGTGTGGGGTCGGGTCGTGCTCACGCTGCCAGCCAGGAATCGCTCGCCTTCACGTGCCCGGGCTCCGCTCCCTTTTCTCAGCCACGAGGACTGAGACGCGGGACCGAGCCCCCCACACGTCGGCTCCATGCGGCTCCGCTGAGCCCCTGGGCTGGCGAGGCCACACGCTAAGAGCCAGCGCCAGGCCTATAACCGCGTGGCATCTTGTTCTGGGAAATCCCAGTCGGTGGGAGGATGCAGCTTTGATCCAGGATCCGAATGGCACCTCAGCTACCAAGTCTTAGGCAGACGTTTCACCCCAGAGGACGAGGCTGCGATAAACGCGGACACACGGCGACACGGACGGGGACATCGGGACCCCGGCATCGCTGGTGCGTGTCAAGGGTGCCACCGCCGAGGAAAGCAGACCCTCACGAGGTGAAACAGGAACCCGCCAGCCAAGCAGGCCCGCGGGGCGGGGGACAGACCCCCGGGAGGAGGCAAGCTGTGTCCACACACAAACCTGTGCCTGGCCCGGCCGGCGTGGCTCCGTGGGTGAGCGTCGACCTATGACCAGGAGGTCAGAGTTCAATTCCGTTGGGGCACAGGCCCGGATTGCAGGCTTGATCCCCATGGGGGGCGTGCAGGAGGCAGCCGATCCATGTTTCTCTCTCCCTCTCCCCAAAATCAATAAAAATACATTTTTTTAAAAAACTTGTACATGAATGTTCACAACAACTCTATCCCTAACGGCCCCAACGACACCTCGCACTGTCACCCCCCTGAGCCCAGCAGCAACAAACGTACAATCCACACAACGGAACGCGAATCGGCAACAGGAGGAAGGAGGTCCTGGGAGAAGCGGCCACGAGGGCAGATCTCAGACACGAGGCCAAGTGACAGAAGCCAGACCCAACCCGCGCACGCGACTCCGTCTGCGTGAAACGGCAGCGCAGGCAGCGCCCCAGGCCGGGCGGCCGGGTGGTGGCCAGGGCGGGGGGGGGGGGTGCTTGCTAACTGGTACAGGGCTCTTTTGGGGTGAAAGGCCCCCGAATCAGGTGGCGGGGATGGTTGCACAGCCTCGTGGGAACACTGAGAACATCACCACAGACGCACATTCGTAAAAGGAAACAGAGAGAACGCCTGCAGCGGAAGCGGCCCCCGGGTCCGCCCGAGGTGGTGGAACCGGCTTCAGGGTCGAGAGGAAGGTCCAGACAGATCCACGAGGTGCCACGGCCCCAGCGGCAGGAGGTCAACAGTCGGATTCGGCCGCGATCTCGATGGTCGTTTCTCCGGGCGCCGCGCACAGCCGCCGCCTGGCTGACTCGACCGTTTCCCAGGCAGGGGGCCCGGGGAACCTCAAGCTCCCGCCTGTGAGCGCAGAGCCCTCGCACCACCTGCCAGGCCCCGCACACGGAGCCGCGAGCAGACCGACCTCTTGTTCCCAGCACTGGAGGCCGGGCCCCGTGTAGCCCCGACCGGCTGCCGAGGGTCTCCCTGCACCCCCAGGTGTCCACTTCCTGTGGGCCCCGACCTTCCCGCAGGAGGGATGCTCCGCTCCGCACACCCACCCCGCCCCCCGCCCTCCCCCCTGCCGCTTGAAAAGCCCTGCTCCTCACCACCCCCACCTGGTCCTCAGGGAGCCAGGAGCCCAGGAAGGAGATGGTGTCCTGCAGCCTGTGAGGAACCCACCTCCCTGGGGCCCCCGTGTCCTGGGCACCGGCCCCGGCCACCCTGCCCCCCGCAGGTCCCTGTTTGTAACAAACCCGACCCCCCATGCCGCCTCCTGCCCCAGCGAACAGCACCGGCCCCCCCTCCGAGCCCAGGAAACCACCGGGCGAGACACGAGTGTAAAAAAATAAGCTGCGTGACATTTATTTTGTCTTGTTAACGTTAATATCTGTAGAGACATTTTTATTGTCAGTATAAAAATTAACAGGTTTTATTAAATACTTTCCCCAAGGCCCTGGCACATACATGTACAGTCAGTGTATTCTGCATGTGCGGCGACCGCAGCGTGAGGGGCGTTTCGGAAGCAAAACACAGTCCTTTCGCACGGGACCCTCGGCTGGCGGGAAGTACGCTTCCTCTGCCGCCGGAACCAGCCGGTCCCGCCAGCGAGGCCCGCCAGGAGCCGCCGGGAACCACCCCTTAACAAGATGGAGGGGACCCCAAACTCTCAGCGGAAGAACCGGCGTCTCCGTTCCCCACGGTGAGTCATGGAGACCCTGAGAGCTGCTCTGCCGCCCACGAACCTGGAGCCGCTACCCAAATCCCCGACGAGAATACAGGCCGATCCGACGACTGCGCCGCGGGCAGGGCTGCCGGGAGGCGAGGCCGGGAGGCGAGGGCAGCTGTTTAAGGAGCTGGTCCCACCGGCCTGGCAGGTGCAGGGAGCGGCCACGGGGGCCCATGACCAAGCCGCCCATCAACACCCTCGCCCGAGCCCCGGCTCCAGCAGGCGGTTCGACAGCCCGGACAGCAGAGCTCGCACCCCAAACCTCGCCTCCCCCACCAGTCAGATCTGCCATCAGTTCTCTTTTCAAGGGACCCGGCCACCAGCTACGTCGGAGCAGCCAGTCAACTCGCCCGCATAGAAATGCCACTTAAATTAAAAACAAAAAAAACTATAAATGATTAATTGTTTTGTATATTACCAATCCATTAATAAATTAATGTTTTATACCATTTTCCCTGAAAGCAAAAGTACCTCCCACCGCTGCTCGGTGAAAATTAGGAAACTCTGGGTAAGAACAGCATTTAGCAAATAGCTATTTAAAAAAAAAAAAAAAAAAAAAAAAAAAGACCGATTTTCCAGGTGCACTGCGACATCCATTTAAAATCAATACAAAAAATAATTCCTTGTAAATATATAATATATATTTATACATAATTTGCGTCTATGTACATACACCCAGCACCTCTGTGCCCCCTGTGCCCTGTGCGTGCGCCGCCTCCCCTGCTCCCCTTCTTACAACATCCACAACGAGGCCAGACGCGCGTCTGTCTCCTGAGTCCGGCTGGCCCACAGCCGGCCCGGCGGGCGGCGGGCGGCGGGCGTGCGGTCCCACCGCGGCCGTCCGTGGCCCCGGAAACGTCCCTCTTCCCCTGGCGAAGACGACAGGTTTCCGACGGTGTCACCTTTACACGCCTGCCACCGGCTCTCCCAACGACGCGCCCTCCGGTCCATATGTACAGTCGGAGACACAGCTCCGGAGGAGGCCCTGCTCTGTGCGGCCAGGCTCCCGCGCTGCCCGCCCGCCGGGAGGGGCGGACACATGCCCGCTCAGGTGTCCACGCTGCCGCTGACAGGCGGGTACTGCGGGAGGCAGGGGTCGTAGGGCATGGGGTCCGGGGAGAAGACGGAGTCGTCCCCCGACGAGCAGGAGCTCCTGGTGTCGGGGTAGCTGGGCGAGTACTGCTCGAGGGGCTGGCTGAGGTCCAGGTACTCCTGAGGGGAGGACAGAGACCTGTTATTTCTGTTGTTGTTTTTAAAGATATTTGTACTGATGTCAGAGAGGAAGGGAGAGGGAGAGAGAGACACATCCATGATGAGAGAGAATCATGGATCAGCTGCCTCCTGCACACCCCCCACTGGGGATCGAGTCCGCAACCCAGGCCTGTGCCCTGACCGGGAATCGAGCCCGGGATCTTCCAGTCTGCCGGCCGGCGCTCTATCCACTGAGCCACACCAGCCGGGACAAGAGAGACATTTATCTCCTCTCGGGTTGGGTAACCAGTGAGGACGCGTGCAGGAGGCAGCGGATCCATGATTCTCGCTCATCATTGATGTTTCTCTCTCTCTCTCTCTCTCTCTCTCTCTCTCTCTCTCTCTCTCTCTCTCTCCTTCTCTGAAATAAAAAATTTGAGCCCAGCACAATGACAGGGTATAGATGTGGGTCCCCTCTAAGTAGTCCAGGCCATGCACATTCACTTAACGAATTTCGTTTTATGCCTGTAGTTTCTAGGATAATGTAGGGGGAGCGTGTCTTCACTCGGGGGCGATCTCACAGACGTCACTCATGCGCTCAGACACTCTCTGCCTTCGAAACGCACACAGGGTCCCCCAGACCTCGGACGGACGCGTGGACATTACATCCACAATGGACCGTCAAGGACAGCTTAGGAAAACAGGTCCTGAAGGTTTACAACTCAAAAGGCTGGTCGCCCCCTGTGGCCAAGGGCGGGCGGGACCCACCGCAGCCGCGATGGCCGGGGACCTGAGAGCAGTTTTACCATTTTTTAAACGGCTAGAGAAAAAGTAAAATCAACAAAAAGACGAAGAATAGCTCATGGCGTCCTGGCCCGTTTGGCTCAGTGGACAGAGCGTGAGCTACGGGCTGAAGGGTCCCGGGTTCGATTCTGGTCAAGGGCACGCACCTTGGTTGCAGGCTCCTCCCTGGCCCGGGCCCTGTGTGTGCAGGAGGCAACCAACCGATGAGTCTCTCTCACATCGATGTTTCTCTCTCTCTGTCTCTCCCCATCCCTTCCACTCTCTCTAAAAATCAATGAAAAAATATCCTCAGGTGAGGATTAACCAAAAAAATGTTTTTAAAAAATGTCTCACGGCTTTAAAATGATATAAAATGACATGTGAGGGTCCATCCAGCTTCCCCAGAACACGGACACGCATATCGGTTGACGCAGCGTCTGTGGCTGCTTCTGGGTCCCAGGCAGAGCGGAGCTGTGGCGACAGAGACCACGTGGCCCCACGTGGACTCCTACTGCCCCCTCCCCGCCCTGAAACTAGGGAGAGACCCCTGAACGGGAGCCCCGGGCCCCACTGCCTCCTGGGGCAGCGCATCGGGCGTCGCTCCCACACCCGGAGCCAGCTCCCCTCCCCCCGTCCTATGCTGGGAGGCGGCGAGAAGTGCAGACACAGCACAGCAGCCTGTCGGGTTGTCAGAAGGGAGCCCACAGAATGCTGGCGGCTGAACATTGAAAAGACAACACCCTCTCCTTCCCCCCCATTCCGCCTCCAGGGCTGGCGAGAGCGAGTCCCGTCCGACGGGGCTGCGGCCGCCCCCACAGCCTCCGGGTAACCACCCGCGGGGAAGAAGCCGCCACATCAAGCCCGCGCTTTGCTGACGACGATAAAAGTGAAACTTCGTCCTAAATGGAACCGTTTTCCCGGAGCATCTGGCAGTGATTTTCAGACGGGAAGAGACTCGGGTTCTGTAACCGCGGCTTCACCAGGCGCTGCTGTGGCCTCGGCCCGCACGGCCCACGTGAAATGCAAACATGACTGGCAGCCCTGAGCCTGGCCATCAGCTCGCTGAGCTGGAGGCTCCGTGACTTCCCAGCCGTCCACTCTCGGCTCTGAGGGGGGAGCCGCACGTCCCGATCCCACGTCCGGGGCTGAGGCACTGACACTGGAAACACCACTTGGCGGGAGAAGAGCCGTTCCCGGCGAGGCCGCCCCTCGGCCCCTGCAGGGCACCCGCACTCCCTGAAGCGCAGCCTCTCCCCTCCCGGCCAGTCAGACGCCCCGACAAGGTGCTGGCTTGTTTCTTAATCACTCTGAAGCCATGACCTGTATTATTCAAACATTTAAATCTATTATTTTCTTTCTCAATTCAGACAATGAGGGACCATGGGCACTGATTCTACATATTTTCTAGAAAATAAGTATTTTAGCAAAAGGTGCCAGTTTTCCCTTAAACATCCTAGTGGTCACTCGTTATGACACGGTGTGTCCACACTGTGCACACGGATGAGGCCGCGAGCCACACGCCCCGCCAGGCGGGGTCTGGGAGGGACTGACGGCTCCTGTGTTGTCTGAAGCGGGAGGGGCGGGGCCTCCATGCATCACGCCCATCGGGACCTGAGCATCAGCAGCTCGCACCCTGGTTACCAGAATCCACATGCATGCATGCACACACACATGCATACGCACACGCGCACACACATTCATACATACACACGCACACACGCCCAGGCCCAGCGCCGGAGCACCATGGTGACGGGCGGCTCGCGCAGGGCCCGCAGGCTCTGCTTGTGTGAGTCAGACGCTCACCACGCAGCTGAGAAAAACCAGGACCTGGGCGAGCACAGGTGAACCTGCTGACCCCTGCCTGACCCCTGCCTGACCCCTGGCCTGATGATGGACGGCCGCGCACTCGGACAGGGCAGGTGTGCTTACAGCGCGGAGCGCCAGGCCAGGAGCCGGGCACGAGGGCGCCTTACCTCGTTGGTGGTGAGCGTGAGCACCCGGTCCAGGTCCTCCACCAGCTGCTTGAAGGTCGGCCGCTGCGAGGGCACGGCGTGCCAGCAGTCCCTCATCATCATGTACCTGCGGAGAGGCGCCGCCGCGTGAGCCCCCGAAACGGCGCCCACAGCCCACAGCCCACAGCCCTCAGGGCCGGTCCACCCGCTCTCAGCTAATCCCAGGGGAGGGCGGGCCAGACACGTCACAAACGTCACACCATCCTGCCCCCGCCGCGTGGACAGGTCTCTCCTGGTTTTACAGCCACATCGAAACGCTAAGGAAGGCTCTGGCCAACGTTCAATTCTCTGCACTCCAGTGCGGGTCGAGCCGCAGGCAACTGGAGACGAACTAGTTCACTGACTGAGGAAATGCGGCCGATGTCAAACAACAGCAGCAGTTTGCACGGTCCCAGAGGGGCTGCGGAAGCACCGGCCTCCACATGCTGTGCAGGGGCCTTCACGCGCTGCGCCGGGGCCGGGGACAAGCACTGAGGGGAGGCCGGGCTGGTCCCCTGACCCTGTGCTCAGCCGGGCAGCCCCGTGGCTTCCTAGTGTGTGCGTGTGTGTGTGTGTGTGCGTGTGCGGGTGCGTGTGCATGAGGGGGCAGGTCTATCTTCCCGCCACTCTGAGGAGGGTCAGCGGCAAAGCCCAGCACACGGCCCATGTCACTCAGGAAGCGGAGCCCTGGCCGGGCAGCCCGACGCCCCCTGATTGAAAGCTGGCTGCCTGCACCCCAGACGCTGCTCTTTCCCAGACAGGCCTGCAGCCGGGTGGAATCTGTCTCCCTCTGGGGGGGAGCCTGGGGCTGGAGGGGGGCCGGGATGGGGCGGGGAGCCCGGGATGGAGGGGGGCCGGGACGGGGTGGGGAGCCCGGGCAGACGCCCCCTTACAGCTCGTTGGTGCAGTTGGCCGGCTTGTCCATCCTGTGCCCCTCCTTTAGCAGCTTGAACAGCTCCTCCACGGGGATCCCCGGGTAGGGCGAGCCCCCGAGGGTGAAGATCTCCCACATCAGCACCCCGAAGGACCAGCTGCGCAAGGAGAGAGCGAGGTGACTCACCGCCGGCCCAGGCCGCCCGCATGCCCGTCCGGATAAACGCCCAGCGGCCGGTGCCTCCTGCAGCCCCCACGTGCCCTCCTGCCCCCCAGCATCTCAAGGAACAGGACGTGGGGTTCCCAGGGAACCCCGCCGATGGCGGACGGTGATGGCCAAGCGTCACCTTCTCTCCTTGGGGGAGGTTTGGGATGGCTGGGTGTTTTCCTTCGGGCGCTCCCAACCTTATTCGTCTTCAGTGCGGTGTTTGCAACACGAAGATCTCCACTCCTGGGACCGCCCACCCGCTCTGCCGGCCACGTGACCGACCCAGGGCTGCGACCTGCCCGGATGGGCAGCGGGCAACACGCGGCCAGCGAGCTGCCCCCCGAGGCTCAGAGGCCGGGTGGCCGCGGAGCCCACAGGGCACGGAGGCTCCCGCCTCAGCCACCAAGGGGGCCGCTGCGGGGGAGGCGGTTCAGGCAGCAGGACCCGGACGTCTCCCGGGCCCATTCACACCTTCGGCGAGGGAGCCGAGACCACGCCGGCAGCTGGGCCATGAGACCGCGGCTCCGAGCTGCACATCGTGAGTGAAGTCGGGGGCGGGGGCACTCGGAAGCCAGGCCGATGAGCAACAGCCACAGTTACCGGCCTCCTAAGGCCGTCCTGTGTGCAGCCGCCTCCAGCAGCTTCCCTCAACATGTGACACGCAGCAGGCGCCGAGGAAGGCACGGCACGTACACCGGGTTTGCAACTGACGCGGGGGAAGCGGGGAAGGGATCACTTACACGTCACTCTGATGGGTGTACACGCGATCGAAGAGGGCCTCCGGAGCCATCCACTTGACGGGAAGCCGCCCCTGCGCGTGCGGGAGGAAGGAAACACCCACACGCTGGAACCCGTTTACACGCAACAAGGACTACACGCTACGGGGACTACACACTACGGGGACTACACGCAACGGGGACTACATGCAACGAGGACTACACGCAACAGGGACTACACGCAACGGGGACTACACGCAACAGGGACTACACGCAATGACAGGGTGCGGATTCGGAAACACTGAAATGTCATCTGCGTGGACCCTCGGGGCTGTGGGCCTCCCTGACCATCGTCTGGAGGGAAAGGTGACCAGAAGCTCCGGGCCCTGCCGGTGGCTCGGAAGTCTGGACCCAGAGCCCAGGAGGGCGAGAGGCCGCCGACTCTCCGTGCCCAGGAGGCTCACCCCACGACCCGTTGACACGTCGCCGCGGGGAAGCGTGTGAGGAGCCAGACAAAGACGAGGCCCAGGGGCTGGAGGAAGGCGCCCCGTCCGGGTCTCCAGCGCGGAGCACCCATCGTTCCTTCTGGAACGTTCCGGGCCACGCCCCCTCCCCCAGCGGCCACCTGCACTCACGTTCGTGGTCTTCTTGTAATAGTCGATGTTGTTGATGTCTCTGGCCAGCCCGAAGTCGGCTATTTTCATCACGTTGTTCTCCGTCACCAGGACGTTTCTGGCCGCTAGGTCTCGGTGGATACACTGAAACGAGAGGAAAACACCCATTTAGGAGGCTTCAGGCCTAAAAAAGAAACAGACTCACTTCTTGTAACATCTGAAGCCGAACACTCGCTTCCTTTCCAGTTAAAAGTGAGCGTATGAGACCCTTTCGAGAGCGCCGGCCGGCCGCGCCCGCGTTCTCTCCTGCGGCTGACGGCACCGCGCCCCTCACCCGGGCTCCGCGCTGACCACCCATCTCTCCTCCGCGCACCGGCTCTGCGGCCGCCACCGCCAGACCCAGAGGCGCTGGCCGAGCGCCCGCATCACGGGCCTCCGCCCCCTGGTCACTCCTCCAACATCCGGCCCGTCCCGCCCGCCCTCCCACGGCCGAGACCAAGCGGCCGATTAGAAGGCAGCCAGCGAAGCTCTGGGAGGAATGAGTCAGCAATTCCCTTCTGTCCCCCCGCCCCGACCCCATTCTCTTGCTTCCATGGACCCTGGATGGGGCTGAGCTCAGACCAGGGAGGGCAGGGAGCCCCGAGAGCCTGTGCCGGCCCAGGGTTAGGAGGCCTCTTCACAGTGAACCCCAAGGCCTGGGCCCAGCTCCCCAGGCGGAGAGCTCCCGCCAACACCAGCTCGGAGCGTCTGGCCGGCGTGTGGTCAGTGGGACCCGCGCCCCACGCGCTGGGCTCCGGCCACACATCAGGGATCAGAGCAGAAACACCAGGACACGACCTCCAGCCTCTGACCTCCACCCTCTTCTCTGCGAGAGCCAATCCAGCCCCCCGCCCCCCCGGCCCCCGGGTGGTGACCCGACCAGGGCTGCCTCGCTTGGTGGGACTGGCAGGGCCATGACCCAGCCTGCCCCGGTGCCGGCAGGGCCACGCCCACCAAAAGCCTCTCTTCCTTGGGGGCCAGGCGAGTCCCGAGGTGACACCAGGCTCCAGGCAGGTAGGTCAGACTCACCTGAGCCCCAGGAGGTCACCATGCAGCCCCCCCTCACCCCCACCCCAGGTGCGGGCTCAATGGCCCCAGGCCACCTGGGCACCTGGCTAGCTGCTCCCGGAATAACTCGGATGCTTTGAGTTCCACTGCAGGCGGCATTCCTGGAATGCAGGGCTCCCGGGGGGACGGGGGGGGGGGGTTAACTGCCTGCTCCCCCCATGGGGGCCCCTTGCTAGTCAGTCCGACAATAAACCCCCGAGGAAACCCAGGACTCTGACTCAGCCCCTCCCCATGATCTCCATTTCCAGCCTCTACACCGTAAACATGACACCGAAAGCCACGTCCAAACCCCCACCGACCCTGAAACAAGCAAGGCCCACCCACCATCAGAGCTAAAGGCAGTGTGTCCGCTCCCGGCCCTGGCCACCGCCTCTGGGACGGCCATGCCCCCGGGCTCAGGGCAGGCGGCTCTGCTCATCTCACGTGTCCCCAAAGGTCATGTTAGGGGCTGCGCGGGCTGTTGACCCCAACGTGACGGACTCCTTGGTCGCACGAGACAGGCCAGGGCCCGGCAGCAAAGGCGGGCCCGACGCCTGCTTCCCGCCCAGCGGAACCCGCCCCCTCTCGCCCAGGAGCACGCGGCCGCACTCACCTTCTGGGAGGCCAGGTACTCCATGCCCCGGGCCAGCTGGTAGGTGCAGGACACCAGGTCCTTGAAGGTCATCTGCTCCTCGGGCACGTGGTTGATGTCGTAGGAGTACTCCATCCCGGGCGGCCGCCGCGCCCGCAGGTACTCCCGGAGGTTGCCCTTGGCGGCATACTCCACGATGACATAGAGGGGCCCTGGGGGGACAGACAAGCTCCCTCAGACGGAAGGGTTCCGGGTTCGATGCCGGTCAAGGGCACGTACTCGATCCCTGCAACCGAGGTCACAGGTCGGGGCGCATGCAGGAGGCAACCAATCCATGTGTCTCTCTCACATCGATGTTTCTCTCCGGCTCTCCTCCCCCTTCCACTCTCTCTAAAAAGCTATGGGAAAATAGCCTTGGGCCAGAAACAGAAAGTATTTTTTAAACAAAAAACCTGGCGTCCTCAACCCCCACCTTCACAGGACACGTCAGCCAAAGCCGAGGGCCTGACTCTGAGAACCTTCTCCCGGCGCGCACGTCACAGAAGCCCCAGGGGTCAGCCGTTCCCCAGCTCCGTGGGGGGGTGCCCCTCATCCCAGGCCCTGCAGGCCCCTCATCCGCAGTCACCCAGCGCCCACCTCCCCCCAGGCCCCGACCCCCAGCCCCAGCGCCCACCTCCCCCCAGGCCCCGACCCCTGGCCCAGGGACACCTCCCTCAGGGGACTGTAAACAGAGCCTCCTACATGCACGTGAGGTGCCCGGGAGCACGTCCCCCATCCCTGCCCCCCAGCGAGGCTGCCATGGCCGCCAACGGGGTGCGAGCGCCCCACGCACCGTCCTGCGTGCAGGCGCCCAGCAGGTTGATGATGTTCTTGTGCTTCCCGATCATCTTCATCATCTCCATCTCGGACACCAGGTCGGAGAGGTCCTTCTCCGTGGCGTCATCTGCGAACGTCAGGGCGTTAAACCCGTCCCACGCCTCCCATGGCGGGGGGGGGGGAGTCTGGGCTCTGCCACGGGCACGCGGGTATTTACAACATCGTCCCGTTGACATAACTCACTGAATAGAAGCTAATGTGCTATGGCCCAGCCGGCTCAGTGGTTGAGCATCGACCTATGAACCACGAGGCCGATCAGGGCACAGGCCCAGGTTGTGGGCTAGATCCCTGCTGTGGGGCGTGCAGGAGGCGGCCGATCAGTGATTCTCTCTCATCATTGATGCCTCTCTCTCTCTCCCCCTTCCTCCCTCCCTCTCCTGTCTTCTCTGAAATCAATTTAAAAAATACTTCTTAGAAAATTTATGTTGCTATGAAAAAGCCCCTAGATGTATTGCATTTGGAGCCCCGCCTGTGACCACCTTGGCAGGGCCAGACCCAATGATGGCCAGCCCTCGGGCCGGACGCTCCCCACCCTGCACCCTCGGCCGCGCGGGGAGCTGCCCAGCGCTGGGCTCAAGGTTCAAACAGCATGAAATTGAGTGTCAGAGCCAGAGGGGACTCCCCCACCTTCCCTGCCCTTGTGGGTCGGGGGCAAAGGCCCAGGCGGGAACGAACTGCCCGCCCGCGTCCAACGGCCAATGTGGGGTCAGAAGTCAGGACGGGCGTGGATTTAGGCAGCTTGGGCCGAGGCCGACTCGCTTCCAGCCGAGCTCGCAAACGTGCGGCTGCACTTTGACAAAACTGGCTTTTCGTTTTTATTATTTTTTTGAATCCTCACCAGAGGATACTTTTTCTGTTGATTTCTAGAAAGTGGGGGGGGGGCAGAGAGAGAGAGAAACATCGATGCGAGAGACACATCAACTGGCTGCCTCCCGCACGTGGAACTTGCAACAGAGGTACCCGCCCTTGACTGGGAATCGAACCCGGGACCCTTGGGTCTACAGGCCGACGCTCTAACCACTGAGCCACCAGCCGGGCAAACTGAGCCAAACTGGCTTTTTTTAAAAAGCGCACACAGCTCAGGATAAACCGTCTCCGAGATGCTGATTCATACTGCAAACCCCTCACCCCCGAGGTCAGCTATGTGCCCTCTGACCCCCTTCACGTGCGACCAAAGGAACTTTCTCAATAAGGCGTCCCCCCGCCCCCGGCCCCCGGCCCCCACTCACCTTTCAGCATCTTCACGGCCACGGTGACCGCCTCCTTGGGCTTGTCCTTGTCGACTCCCACGGCCTCGGCCATGACCACTTGCCCGAAGCAGCCTTCCCCCAGGGGCTTGCCCAGCGTCAGCCTGCGTGGGGACGGGGATTAGCACTGGCACCGGGCGGCGGGGGCGGCCGGGAAAGGCCAGGACCCAGTAGAGCCGGCTTCTGGCCCGAGCGCGGGCGCTGATCGTATGGAACTAACGCGACGGCCACGCGCCCGGGTGTCCTCGTGACGCCGTGGAGACTGTCACTCGGGGACAGCTAGTAAGTTCCACATTTGGGCTCCGGTCTGTTTTCCTGACGGAAGGGACCCTGGCCGCGGGCGGGGCGGCCGGCGGCCCTAAGAGCCGGCAAAGGGGGGCTCGTTACTACACGCCCGTCGTTCAGAATATCCCCGAGAAAGCCTGCAAGCCCGCTGCTTCCTTTTTCGTCTCCGTGAAGCAATGTCTTTAAAGTCGCTGTTATTCAAATACCAATGGGTTTACACTCACATTCTGGGGCCAAGACACAGGCTCTGAATCTTAAATGCATTTCAAGGAATCTCTCTAGTTTTTCAATAAAAGGAAAAAAAATCTAAAAATTGGGGGGGAGGGAGGAATTTTTTTTTTTTTTTTTTTTTACATAGCAGCCTGGAAAGCCGTATGACAACTCAAAATTATCATGAAGACAGTCCAGAGTGAGCACAGCAAACTAAATTCTCAGCTTGGAAGCGCTGGGCACGTCCTACTAACGCCCACATCTTGTCCCTGGGCCTCAGAGAAGCCACAGGACGAAGCCGTGTCTGAAACATGTGTGACCGTGGCTTCTCACGCACACGCAGCGCGGGCCTCAGGGTAGAGAGCGTGTTTGTGGCGGCACAGCCTGGCGTGCAGAAGCCAGGCCAGGGCCCAGGGCGACGGACGCTGCGCTGAGGTCACTCTGCTTCTACGCTGAACTGAAATTAAATTTAACGTCTTGGCAGAAAATAAACATTTGCGTTGGAAAAAGGGCTAATTTATGTCCCAGCGCCGGCCACCCCGGGCGTAACAATCCTCCCTTTGTGCAGCCCCTGCCTCCGTCTCACAGCGGCTCTCAATGCCTTCATTCACGGGCCGCGCTCCGCCCTCGCCGGGCTCCGTCCTGTTTTGAAAGGTTTAGCGCTCAGACTTTCCACACACGGGCCCGGGCGGGAGCGGGCCGCTCGCACCGACAGGCCCGCCCTGGCGACGGCGGCGTCACGGGTGGCAAAGCCACGGCTGGGCCCGAGCTGCGACTTCTCACCATCTGGTCCCAGCTGCCCACCAGCCCTTTAATCCTACCAGACCTGAGGCCCTGACCCTAACTGTCCCCTATACCTGGGCTCCTGAGCATTAAAGAGAAAAAACCAACATGATACAGAAAAACGTTAGTTACATGCAAACAGGTGGTTAGAATAAGACGGAACTTGGAGACATTGTAGAAAATAGGTCTACCTTTCATCTGGCGCCAATATTCCACCTTCGTGTGGAAATTACCGAAACATCGGGACAGCGGTCTGGAAGGGTTAAGGTCTGTGGTCCAGGGCCCCCAGGTCACCCACACGAAGGGAATCGAAGGGCGACGCGCTCATGGGAGCCAAGAGCCAGGCTCCGTCCCTGAGGGCTGCCCCTGACCTGCTCGTATGGGAACCATGTCCAGAGCATCAGGCATCAGGCATCAGGCACCGCCGGCAAGGTGGCCGGCCTCTGGCGGGCAGGGCAAGGACGCAGGTCCCGCCCCACAAAGCCCAGGACCAGAGCAGGAGCGACCCGCGCCCAGCAATGCTGTCAGCAGAGCCCGGGTGGCCACCCTTGGACGGAGCCCGCCTGGGGCATCCCTATATCATCCAACCAGGAGAACATTGGGAATCACGGGAAACGATGCCGTATCGGAAGCTTTTCAGCCCGAAGGGGCACTAACCCCCAGAAGCAGTAACACTGGATAACGTCTCCTTTTCTGTTTAATCCTCCCCCGAGAGTATGTTTCCATTGATATAGCGAGAATGGAAGAGGGAGGGAAAGACAGAGAGAAATATCGATGTCCTGCATCTCCCCAACCAGGGCCCGGGCCGGGGAGGAGCCTGCAACCGTGGTAGGTGCCCTGACTGCAATCGAACCCAGGACCCTGCGGTCTGCAGGCCGACGCTCTATCCACTGAGCCACACCAGCCAGGGCTGGATAAAGATTCTTAAGACGACACAGTCTACACCCAATTTCTCCAAAGACGTGGACCACAGAGCAGCCTGTTCCATAACCGGAGGGCAGAACAGAGGACTTCTTCCTGGACGGGGCACTCCCGCTCCTGCTGCACTGGACGGGGACTGAACTGTCCGGCGAGTTATTAAGAAAAAGAAAAGCCGAAACCGGTGTGGCTCAGTGGATAGAGCGTCGGCCTGCGGACTGAGGGGTCCCGGGTTCGATTCCGGTCAAGGGCATGTGCCTGGGTTGCGGGCACATCCCCAGTGGGGGATGTGCAGGAGGCAGCTGATCGATGTTTCTCTCTCATCGATGTTTCTAACTCTCTATCTCTCTCCCTTCCTCTCTGTAAAAAATCACTAAAATATATTTAAAGAAAAAAAAAAAAGAAAAAGAAAAAGCTGACGACGAGGCACCAGCTCGGGTGGGGACCAGCCTGGCTGAGTGGCTCCTCAGAACCACAACCTCACTCACTCCTGCCGGCGTCGCGACTGCAAGACCGTGCAAGTGAGGGTCACGCAAAGGCCGTGTCCACCCAGCACCCCTCCTTCCCGAGCCTCCGTCCAGCCTCCGTCCAGTGGGCGTGCCCCCCGAGGTACTCACTTGTCTCTGGGGAACTCCCACTTGGGGTCCTCGGGCAGCTCGTACTCCGAGACGCCCGCCAGCATGGGGGTGTCCGCCGCGGACGACAGGCGGGTGGTGATCCGCACCAGGGGGGTGTTGGAGTTCATGGAGGAGCTGGACTCGGCTGACACCTGGATACAAAACCCAGAGACACAGGTGTAACCCTGGCCCCCCCTGAGGGGGCTGGGGGCCGGCCAGAGCCCAGCCGGACCGTCAGCCCTCAGGAAGGGAGACACGAGGGGCTGGACACGGTCACTCCTTCAAGACCCAAACCACCGACTCAACGCCCCTGCCCTCCCGCCTACGGGGGCCTAAATCGCATCCGAATCCTGTGTCCCTAGGGCAGGTGTCCACACGTGGGTGCGCATGCTGCTTCAAACACGCCTAGTCCTGCCCTCACCCCAGGACAGTCACCAAGGACAGAAGAAAGCCCCACGGACGTCACTGCTCCGGTATCGCCTGCCCCAGGCCCCAGGACTGCTCTCCCCGCAGCCCAGCCCAGACCAGGGGTCAACGTGGTGGTTCAGACAATCAGCTCTTGGATGGGTTTTGTGTCGTTGACGTGTCATGCCGTGACCTGGCCGGTGTGGCTCAGTGGATAGAGCATCGGCCTGCAGACCGCAGGGTCCCGGGTTCGATTCCGGTCAGGGGATGTACCTGTTGCAGGCTCCTCCCTGGCCTGAGCCCTGGTCGGGTGTGGGCAGGAGGCAACTCATCCATGTGTTTCTCTCACATCCATGTTCCTCTCTGCCTTCCCCTCTCTTCCTCTCTCTCTAAAGATCACTGGGAAAGCACCCTCGGGTGGGGATTAACAGGAAAATGTCAAGAGCATCGCCCGGAACTGGCTCGAGGGAGGATCTGAACCTGAAAGGCTTCCCAGCCGCGCCAGGGCCTTTACTCAGGGTCACCTTGGGCCCAGGCGGGAAGGGGGGGGGGGGGCGCTGCTCCTCCCCAGTCCTGGGAACGCCCAGGCCTTCCATCCAGGGAAATCGAGGGCCTCTTGTCAACTTCGGTTTCAGAGCCTTGAAGACGTGGGACGAAGAGTCAAGAGAAAGGGAAACACACCTTTTACCCACAATCACCTGGGAAGGCCCCTCGCCTTCCTGGGAGCGCACGGCTTCGCGGAGGCGTCTCCCCGACCCTCACCCGCGTCGGCCGCGGCTGAAAACCGCTCGTTTCTTAAACACAGCCCTTCCCCGAGCTGGGCTCCATGAGGGTCCGTGCACGGCCCCCTGAAGGCCCCCTCTGGGGACCACACACCCTCCGGTCCAATCAGGGGCTGCCTGGTCCAATCGTGCCCGCCCACCCCCCACCGTCAGCCACGACCAAGGCTTTGGCCAAGACAGTGGGACCATGGGCTTCAAGGTGACCCGGCAGAGCGGCTCCCCGCCCACCTCGTCCTGCCCCCGGCACACCTGCCCAGGTCAGCCGTCCTCCCGCTGTGCCCACCAGCCCCGTCCAGGGCAAGGAGCAAAGGCGGGGCCAGGAGAGCGAACTGATGGCCAAGTGTCACAGTGGACAGAGCGCCGGGCTGTGGACGGAAGAGCCCAGGTTCCATTCCCCCAGGGGCACACTTGGCTGCAGGCTCGATCCCTGACCCAGGTCGGGGTGCGTGCAGGGGCAACCAATCCGTGTCTCCTCACATCGATTCTCTCTCCCCCTCCCCCCTCTCCCCTCCCCCCTCTCCTCTCTAAAAATCAATGGAAGAATATCCTCTGATGAGGCTTAAACTTTTTAAAGCTTCGCCGTCTTGGAGGAGGACTAGGAGTTGAGGGCGGGGCAGAGCATGTCTCCTCCAGGCCGTTTACATGTCATCGCCAGGCCCGCTTCTCCCCGAACCCGGAGACGGATCTGGCCGCGTCGGGGGATCGCTTCTTTCCTTCTTGGCCTCAAAGCACCTCCTCCTGTCAGACGCCCGGGCCAACTCCAGGGCTTCCTGTGTGTCTCACTGAGAAGATGCCCTTGATGGTGGCAACTACGTTATTCATAAACAGCAACGCTGACACGCTAACACGCTAACACACGCCTTCCCACACGGACCTCGTGGCGTGTGAGCTGCGCTTCCACGGCCCCCCTTCCCGGGATCTCTCCGCCATAAATCAGGCTTTTAACGAAATGCGCTTTCTGTGTATTTCCAGAGCCCATATGGGGGATTAAGCAAAGAAGTGGGGTTTTTTTCTTCTCTCTTTAAAGGGCCACCAAGACACTGTGTTATCTCCTTCTACCGGGTTAGAAGGAGCAGCCGGCGGGCACCTCACAGGGCACAGGGCGGAGATGCCAGGGCTGGGGGAGTGAGGGGGGATGTCTGTGTGTTTATTCCTGAGGACGCAACACCCCCGGCCACACAGGCCCCCGAAACCCTGGTTCGGGCCGAGAATCTCCGTTCGCCACCCAGAGCGTGCGGCCTCCCAGAGGCGGAGAGGACACGGCCAAACGGGCGGAGGGCGCGGCGCCCACACGGGAGGGCAGGTTTCCCGGGAAGCCGCCCGGCCACTCGCTGCCCAAGTGCCTCTGCACCCAGAGCTTCCGTGGCCGGGGAGGGGGGGCCGGGGCGTCCAGGGTGAGGCTTCGGGGCGAGTGAGTGAGTGAAGGTCTGACCACGTGCACCCGCCAATGGGAAGTGAACGCTCTGTCCGGCCGTGAACGACGTTGTCAAGACGCGCCCGGCCCGGCGGGAAGAGGCCCCACCCTGCATGCGCCGTCCCACCGACCGGACGGACACGCCCCGGCCACGGTCCCAGCTGCGAGGCGGGCAGTGAGCCTGGAGCCCTGGCGGCTCGGCTCCGTGGACAGAGCGTCGGCTGCGGCCGGAAGGGCCCATCGGGCGTCTCAAAGCCTCCTGGGAAGTAAACGCAGCCGGGCGTTCCCTCCTGGCACCGGAGGAAAGGCTTTTGGGGGGAAAAGGCTGACATGTCTGACGAGTGTCAGTGCGTCCAGGACAAGCTGGTGACCGTCAAGCAGGAAACTCGACAGGACCAAGGAGGAGCGTCTCCGGTTCTAACAGCCATCGCTGAGCTCAGGGTGCATGGGGGGAGGGGCGGGGGCGGGCCAAGCAGGTAAGTTCAGGCTCCACCAGGATGCACCCTGTGGGGAGGGGGAAGGGGAGGAGGGGGGGGGAGAGGAGGGGGAGGGGCAAAGGCAGCCTGAAAGGTGGCCTCGGAACTGCCCAGCGACAGGCTGTCCACAGGCATCCGGTTACAGGCTCACCTGCCCAGGTGAAGGCACGCCTGGCATCCCGGTGGAATTTTCTCTTTCATCAACGCATCTGCCGGCCTCTCTGGGGCCTTCATTCCGGCTCCAGGCCAACAACCTCGGTCCCAGACGCCTGACAGGCACCCCCCACCCCGCGGGCCGAGCTCAGGGACCAGCGTGCCTCCCCAGGAACCGCGCAGCCCAGCGGACGGCCGCGAGGGGCTGAGCGGGCAACGTGCCCCCAAACCAATCAGTCTCCCCGACATTTATCCTCCGGGGACTGGCACTTGCCCGCCTTCCTCTGCTTTCTTATCCCGACTCCCCGACCTACGCAACGGGCGACCCCATTTCAAATGGACCCTCCACCGCCCGTCGCCTCAGGGCCAGTGGGGAAGGTGACAGGCCGAGTCCTACCGGGGGTGAGACCAGGCACTCGGAGACCAGAAGAAAAGAGGAAGGAGGGAGGGAGAGGGCGGGGGAGGGGCCCTCGAGCGGGGGGGGGGGGGGGGGTGGCCGTAGGTGGAGACAGACCGAAGGCAGGCCAGCGGCCAGCTGGCGAGAAATGAAGCCGACAACTAGGGTCAGTCGGGGTTGAAGGGCGTCTGCCCCTTCACAGGAAGTAAAACAGTTGCAGAAAAAAGATGATGAAATAATTACGGGCGATGGCTGGGCGGCACCGAGCGACAGGAGTCCTCCAGGGGTGGCGCCCGTTAGAAAAGGGGGGCCGCAGCGCGGCTCAGGGCGGAGCATCGACCTGTGAACCAGGAGCTCAGGGTGCGATTCCGGTTCGATTCCGTCAGGGCACAGGCCCGGGCTGTGGCTCGATCCCCCGTGTGGGGCGTGCAGGAGGCAGCCGGTCCATGACTCTCTCATCATGGATGTCTCTCTCTCTTCCTCTCCCTTCCTCTCTGAGATCAATAAAAACATATTTTAAAAAAATAAAGAAAAGGAGAAGAGAGGTGGGACACCACCCTGTCACCTGCCTAAGCCCAGCCTCTCCTGCTGATGGCGCAGGGGGAGGGGGGAGGGGGGAGGGGAAGGGGGAGGGGGAGGGGCAGTGGGAGGGGAGGGGAGCGGGAGGGCCCCTGAAGGGCACTGGCCAGCAGTCCTGAGGGCTGAGCTCTCCCTGTGGGTCGGTGCTGCCGTGGCCGTGGCCGTGGCCAGAGACAGCAGAGGTGTCACTGAGAACAACGCCTTCCTTCTCGGGGGCCCAGCAGACGCCCTCCCTCGCTCTCCGTCCAGCCTGAGCGCTCCCCGCGCCTCACACGCCAAACCCTCCCTCGACCCCACGGGGAAAGGCCTGCTGGCGACGCCTTCAGAGCTCGGAGCGCGGAGCGGCCCTGGGAGGAGAGCGGCCAGGCCCCGCCAGGCCCCGCGGCCTCGGCCAGAACATGACACGGCACCTTCGGTCCCGGGAGGCGCCCGGCTGGACCGACCCCTGCAGAACCGGAGGCCTCGCTTCCATGGCAGACGCCTGGCTCCACTCCCGGCCTCGACAAGCCCCCCGTGACCTCTGTGACCTCTGCCAACACACCCTGACCCAGGGCCAGGGCACGGGCCATGTGACTCGTTTCAAAAACAATTACCTTTATTGGAACCAAGTTCCAAGTGATTCAGGAAACACTGTGCACGGACATCTGTCCGCCCGCCCGCCTCTCGGACACGGAGGAAGAGATGAGGGCTGCCTGTCCCCAGGGCACAGGTCCCGCTCGGCCCCACCTCCTGCCCTCTCCCCAGAGCAGCACTAGGCCCACCAGGGCTCGGCCAGCACGCGGGACCCACTGACGCCCCCGCACAAGGTGACCGACAGCCTGGTGCCTGTTCAGCAGAGAAACCAGCCAGCCCCAAACCCACGGCCACACCCTGACCGACTCCAGTCACCACACACGCACGCACACGCACGCACACACACGCATACACACACGCGCGCATGCACACACACGCACACATATACACACGCATGCACGCACGCACACGCACGCACACACACGCATACACACGTGCGCGCACACACACGCGCGTGCACACACATACACACGCATGCACACACACACACGCACGCATACACACGATTCTATTTTAAGGATCGGAGCAGGGGAGCCAAAGCTCCGTCTGAAAAGACATCACGGCCGGTTTAAATCAAGCAGTAGCTCAACTGCACCTCGGGGACCCAGGTTTCTGACCTCAATTCAGAGAAATAAGTCCAGTCCCGGCCGGTGTGGCTCAGTGGATAGAGCATCGGCCTGTGGACCCAAGGGTCCCGGGTTCGATTCCTGTCCAGGGCACGCACTTCGGTTGCAGGCTCCTCCCTGGCCGGGCCCTGGTCGGGCTGCGTGCAGGAGGCAGCCCATCAACGTGTCCCTCACATCGAGGTTTCTCTGTCTCTCCCTCTTCCTCCCTCTCTCTCTAAAATCAATGGAAAAATATCCTCGGGGGAGGATTCAAAAATAAAATAAGTTGACGGGAACGACAGTCCCTCCCTTTCCAACCAGGGGCATTGTTAGCCTGTCCCCTCCCCCCCCACCCCAAAAAGCAAGACCATTCGATCACAGGGACAAAGTGGCCTGAGCCTCAGAGAGACGCCACAGAGTGTCATCAAACTCGCAGCCCTGCCCCCCGCACCCCCCTGCCCGGTGCCCCTCGTCCTGCTGATGAGCTCCGCGAGCCTCGCCCTCTCACAATCACTTGCCCTGGGAGCTCGACGCCGTGGACCCATCGGACGCGTCGGGTTTACCTCTCCGCGCTCCCCACACTGACTGGACAGCCGCAGGCCGACCGCTCGCACTGGGAGCCCCTGGGAGCTGGGGCGTCGGGCGGAGGGGAAGGGAGGCCGAGGAGCGGCTGGGCGCGCAGTAGGTTCTGCAAACTCTCCATCTACTTTCTGTTACCTGTCTGCGCAGGGGGATGCGCTTGGAGAGCTTGTGCACGGCGGGCGGGCTGCTGAAGTCCGGCTTCTTGGCCGAGGCCTTCATGCGGCACACGACGACCGTCACCACCATGCAGGCGATGAGGAACACGCCGATGCAGTAGATGGCGATCTCCAGGTAGTCGGGGGCCGCGGGCAGCTCCTTCTCCCGCACGGGCGCTGGGCGGGCGCGGGAGGGGGGTAAGCAGGCGCAGTTAGGAGCTGGACGGAGGCGTCCGGGCACAGCTGGAGGCAGCGGGCATTCACAGGACGGGCCTCCCGATGGAGCCCCCAATGCAGCCGGGCTGCCCGGGCCCTGCGCCTGCCACGCCCCTCGCTCTGCCACCAGGGCCCGGGCGCCACTCCTCCCTGCCACCCAGCGGTCGAGGGCCGGCTGCCACCTTGCACGGAGGGCAGACTGGACTCTGAGACCTGGCACATTGGGGCAGAGCAGGCCGGGCCCGCACCCACAGGAAGGGCTATGCTCCGTGGGCTCCCCATGCAGACCGAGTCCTCGGATACAGACGAGGCCCACTGTGTGTCTGAAGGGACCGTGCCCGTCTGAGGGGGGCGAGCTCACCCACAGGGAGGCGGGGAGGGGGCTCAGATGCGCCCAGGTCCGTGTGAAACGGAGTAGAGACGCACCGGGCAGGCTGGCCGGCCCCAAAAGGGGTCCAATTCCTTAGCGCAGCGCCGCTCGTTAAGCTACTCGAGAAGCAAATGCATGTAACACGCAGGGGGGCTGGCTGACGGAGAAGCATCGTCTGCGTGCCACAAACGGTCTCGGTGATGGTCCTTAATCAATCACCAACACAATCTCTTTGCCCTAGGGAGCTGGCTCAGTGAATAGAGCGTCAGCCTGTGGACCAAAGGGCCCCGGGTTCGATTCCGGTCAAGGGCATGTACCTCGGGTGCAGGCTCCTCCCAGCCCGGGCCCTGGTCAGGGTGCGTGCGGGAGGCAACCCACCAACATGACATCGATGCTTCTCCCTGTCTTTCTCTCTCTCTTCCACTCTCTCTGAAAACCAATGGGAAAATACCCTCAGGTGAGGATTCACACATCAAAATAATAGCAAGGGTAACAATACCCATGGCCGTGTTTTGTGTATCTGGTTATACCGATACAGCACTACAGCTTTTAAAGGAAAAACAGAAGTGGTACTGCGTGTGCGTCCCCGTGTAGTTACTCAGGTGAGCACGTTCTTGTGTCCGTTCCAACAGCGTGTGCTGCCTCCTGGGGCCTCGATGGCTGACCTGCGAGCAGGGATCTGCACAGCGCTGTCCTGGGACGCGTTCTCGGTTAGTGCTCCGCACTGCGGGGCAGGCTGGTTAGGGCGGGCCCACCGGGCGCCCGTGGCGCGCAGGGCGGCGAGGACAGCAAGCTCGACGCCCGAGGCCTCGCTGCTCGCAGCAAATGCTCAGAGCAGGTTCCCGGTGCCAGGGGACACGAGTGCAATGGTATGACTTGAAGCTCACACGTTTTCATCAGAAAAATGCTCGCAAGACAGTCAACACGCTCAGCCGCACAGCGTCACGTGGAGCGATCCCCTCCCTCTACCGGGTGTGGCACGGGCATGCAGGCGGCACCGCAGGCCGACGAGGAGGCACTGGCAACGTCGTGGAACGCAGGCCAGCAGCACAGTCACCACGGAAAGGACAGGAGCAGGCGGGGACTCTAGCTCGTCTGACCCGACAGACACTGTGCTCAGAGTCAGACGGCAGCGAGGAGGCAGCTGCCAGGGCAGAAGCAGCATAGAGCGAGAGGCAAGCGCATGCTCCGCGGGGAATCAGACGGAAAGCCCCTCCCAGGGTCACATGCAGGGAGCCACCGAGCCCCGAGGCGGGCACCACACCGCTTCTGTGCACCCACACGCGGGCGCCTCACCCGGGCGCCGCGACACCCGCTGTCTGTCCACGTCTCGTTGAAAAGGGAACGTGGAGCCAACGTACAGAGCAAAACGGAGTTTAAAATGAGAACAGCAAACTACTCTGCGTGCCACCAAGTAACTTCCACGCCTTAAGGGACGCGGGGATGGGGGGCGACTTTCCACGTCGACTCCGTGACCCACGGAGAACGTGAGGTCCCCTGGGGGGCGGGAGACGCGTCACGTGACCGTGCACGTGCGCGTGGGGCCTCACTGGACGTGACTTTCCCAGGCCATGGCTTCTATCCTGGGGGGTGGGGGTCGTGGACATGCTCCAAGTCTTTCTGCAAAGACGCAAGGGGCCGTTTCTGAGGACAGAAGCGTGTTGACTCCATAGCACCCAACCAGGAAGGGGGACCACGCCCAGGACACCCAGTCGAGGCGGGAGCAGGCGGTATGTACCTGGCAGGACTGTCAACCATGCAGAGTGAAAGGAGATGCCGATAGAGTTACCCGCCAAGCACGTGTACTCCCCCGCATCCTCAAAAGTTACATTCCGAATATAGAGCACCTCAATCTCCTTGTCCGTGGTGTTTACCCCGGCAGCCTAGAAGACAGGGAGCGAGAGAGAAGGTAGACGACACAGGACCGGGCGGAGGGGCCTGGGCCCGGAGGCGGCGCGGGGCCCGGCGGGGCGGCCGTGCGGGATCCGGCTGCAGCCCGTCCACAGAGCCCACGACCAGAGACAGCGACAGGAGCGGCCACCGCGCAGGCCCGTCACCACACCAGCGTCACCCCGGAGGTGCCTGCAGACACATGGACACAGCAGCCCACGGGCGGGTCCTGGCTCGGCTCCACTTGGCGGGGAGGGGTCCCCACACGTGTGCACCCCGCGTCCACCTGGGGCTTCCTTCTGTGGGCTGCGGACTTCCGCCTCGAGGAGAGGGTGGGCCTGTCTCGATGGCTGGGGTGCAGAGCGGAACTCCACAGGCACGTCCAAGGGGACACCTCGCACGTCCTTCCGGCCCCTGGGGGCCAGCCAGGAGGTCACCTGGCGGCCAGGCTCGGTCACTGGGACGCGAGTCAACCACCTTGACTTCCACAGCGTAGAAACGAAATGGAAGGAAAAGCTCCATCTTGGCAGCAAAACAACTGGGCTTTTTTGCTCCCTTTTTTAACTACGCATTTGAATGTGAGTCATGGCGGACGACAGAAGCCACCTGCTGCCTTCAGGAGCTCCCCAGGACATTCACTAAGGGGGCTGCCTCTGGTCGGGGACAGCAAGGTCCAGGGCACCGAGGTCAGGACAATAAGGTCCAGGGCACCGAGGTCAGGACACCAAGGTCCAGGGCACCAAGGTCAGGACAATAAGGTCCAGGGCACCGAGGTAGGACACCAAGGTCCAGGGCACTGAGGTCAGGACACCAAGGTCCAGGGCACCGAGGTCAGGACAATAAGGTCCAGGGCACCGAGGTCAGGACACCAAGGTCCAGGGCACTGAGGTCAGGACACCAAGGTCCAGGGCACCGAGGTCAGGACAATAAGGTCCAGGGCACTGAGGTCAGGACACCAAGGTCCAGGGCACCGAGGTCAGGACAATAAGGTCCAGGACACTGAGGTCAGGACAAGGTCAGGACAAGGTCAGGACACTAAGGTCCAGGACACCAAGGTCAGGCTACCGAGGTCAAGGGCAGCATCTCACAAGATCAGTTATGCAACCAAAGAAACGATGCCCATCGGACAGACGACACCAAGCCCACATTTCTCTAAAAATCGGGGGCCGGAGGAGGTGTGACTTTAGTGGATCCGCGATGCCACACCATCAACGGGCACCCAGGTATGCGTTTCAAATGGCGTTTATGTGCCGCGATGAGGGGGTCTGTGCAGCCTAAACACGATGCCCCAGAAGGAACGAACGATTTAAAAACCGGGGTGGGGGGGCCTTCGGAAGGAGCCAGAGCGGGCGCTGCGAGCACCGTGGGCGCGTTCCATGGCTGCCGGCACCCGCCAGCCGCGTCACCCAAGAAAGATGGTTACGAACATCCCGAGGCCACAGAGGATCCTAGAAGCTGCCTGCCGGCTCCCAAAGCACCAAGTCCTTTCAGCGTCTACATCTGCCTTCTTAAAACACAAAAAAAGAAGGAAAAACCAGAAGCGTCGTTACCTTGCTGCTTGGGCAGGACCGTGAGCCAGGCGGACTGGTTGGCCTGCCCTATGTAATTGGAGACCTTACACATATACTCCCCCGCGTCCGCCTCCGTCACATTGAACAGAGCCAGCACCTCTGCATTGGAACTATTTATCCCCGAGTGCTGGAACAGACAGAGAACAGCGTCGGCTGGGCCCCGGGTCCGCCACCCACCCCGGCCACAGCCTCCGGCGTCGCCTCCACCGCGGGGCCGGGCCCCGAGAGAACAGCACCGTCCACGGCGGGCGACGGGAGAGGGACCCGCTGCAGAGGGCGACACCCGGGGGGCCCCTGTTTCCCAGCTCTCTGACCCTGAGTGGTCTCCGCTGGAGAGAGCACCCGGGGGTGCAGTTCTCGGGGGACCCCGCTGTGGCCTTGTCTGCGAGCAGCTCCGTGCGGGAGAGAACGGGGGGCCAGGCTTAGGGCGCCGCCCGCCCCGACAGCAGGAGGATCGACAGCATCGAGAGGCCGATGCTGCCGCGGGGACTGCGGGGAGCAGGCCGAAGCGCAGGGAGAAAGGGCCCCACATTTCGTGGGCGCAGAACCGGCTTCTACGGTTCGCTGTCTGCCCAGCTGGTGTGGCTCGGTGGATGGCGCATTGGCCTGCGGACTGAAGGGTCCCGGGTTCGGTTCCAGTCCAGGGCACAGGCCCGGGGTTGGGGGCTTGATCCCCAGTGTGGGGCGTGCAGGAGGCGCCGATCCATGATTCTCTCTCATCATGGATGTTTCTCTATCTCCCCCTCTCCCTTCCTCTCTGAAATCAATAAAAATATATTTAAAAAATAAAATAAAATAAAATATAAAGTTTACTGTCTAAACCACATGTGAATGAATTTCCACAGCAAAGGGGTCTCTCTAAGAAGGAGAATCTAAATGGTCTCTAAAAGGTGGCTGCGAACACGGGACCCCAATGTCACATGAAAAGAAAATATCAGCATAACAGTAACATCGGTCCCACCCCCAGGGGTTGAAAAGCTCTTTCTGGCGACCGCTCCCCTCCCCCACCCCCCCACTCGGTGCAGCCGCCCTGCACGGGGAAGATCTCGGGGTCCCCACCCTTACAGACGGCAGCTGAGCTGAAACGTCTCCCCAAAGACCTCAGGCCAATAAATGACTGAACTTCTCTGACTCCCACTTCAGGGGTTCCCCCCGCCCCCAAATCCCTTCTGGTTTTGACTAGGGAGCTAACTCCCCAACACTCTCTGTACTGGCCCGACAGGAGAATCATGCCTCAAATTCAACAGGAAACCCAAGCACCGTGGCCGGGCCCTCCAGGCCCGTGGGGCGGCCCCGGCCGCAGGAGCCCTCACCTTCAGCACCTTGAGGTAGGGCAGCCCATCCGGCCCGTACTTGCTGCCGTTCTTCTCCACGTGCTTGATCCACTGGATGTGGGGCTGGGCGTCGCTGTACACTTTGCAGACGAACTCCACGTCGCCCCCGACCACCGTGGAGGCGTTGGCGGGCAGCCCGGCCTGGAGGATGGGCCGGTGCGGGGACCGCTCTGGGGGGGGATGGGAGGGGAGAGACGGGTAAGTAAGTTGTGCTGCCCAGACGGCTGCCTGTGAACTGGAGCCAGAAAGGTCTCAAGTCTGCTGGCCGAGTCCCTGGAAATCACAGGGCCCCCCAACCCTGAACAAAAGGGGCTTCACGGGCGCGGCGAGAGGGCGGCCCTCGTGCAAAGGAGACGCGCTCAGAGCACGGAGAAAAGAGCTTGTTAGGCTGAAGGCTGTTGGCTGTCCGCGGCCACCCAAGGAACAAGGGGCTGCGTTTACCGTGACGACGAGAGGCGCCCGGCCAGGGCACAGGTACCCATCCCCCATCCCACGGGGCAATGTCGGACGCGCACCTCGAGCGTGAGCCCAACATCATGGGCAGGTGACCACTGTCCCGCCACCCCGATTCTGAAATGGCCCACACACGGGTCACCCCACACATCCCCAAGACGCTCTGAGAAGACCTTCCTCGCTTGTTTTTAAAGAAAACAAACAAAAAGCTGAAGCCCAGGGTCACGGCCACACTGAAGGCACGAATGGTGTTCTCTCCTGGCGCTGGAACGTCCTCCATTCGCGCCCTTTATTCCTCCAGCCGCTTCCTTGGTGAACATGAGGTGCTGCTGTGTCCAAGGGCAGATGCACAGCAAGTACGAGATGGCGAACCTCTGACACGCGAACTCACTGTTTTGGTTGATTTTTCTGTGTTCAATGGTATTTAAATATATAAAATAAATATCAAAAATACAAGTCTTTGTTTTACTGTGGTTGCAAATATCAAAAAATTTCTATGTGTGACACGGCACCAGAGTTGAGTTAGGGTTTTTCAAAATGCTGGCACGCCGAGCTCAGAAGGTTCGCCGTCACTGCCCCGCGCCCTGGCTCACTCAGAGGTGGCACCGGAAAGCAGCACACCGTGAAGAGACACCAGCGCCACGGCTGGGCAGGGCTTACACTGTCTTATTTATTTTCTTGTAAAAATATCTTTTTATCGATTTCAGAGAGAGGGAGGGAGAGGGAGAAAGAGAGAGGATCATCAGTGATGAGAGAGAATCACGGGTCGGCTGCCTCCTGCACGCCCCGCACTGGGGATCGAGCCCACAACCCGGGCCTGTGCCCTGACCGGAATGGAACCCTGACCTCCTGGTTCCTAGGTCGATGCTCAGCCCCTGAGCCACACCGGCCGGGCTCGACTGTCTTAAAAGAGGCCCCATCCAGGGGGGGCTGGCAGCCGCTCCCATCTCCCTTGCCTCACGTCTCTAGGGAAAAGGTTATCAACAAGGACACCCCTCCTGTCTCGGGCCTGGAGAGCCCCCTCTCCCACTCAGAGGTGGGTGAGCATCTGAACACAAGGGTCCCCAAGAAGCGGTGACAGGCCCGCCTGCTGGGAGTCTTGGCCACAGGCACTGGGATGACAAACTCACTGGACCTCCCTCCGTGGCACCCGAGTCGAGAGCCACCACACACCCAGCCCCACTGTCCGTAGGTACTGCCCCCTCCACCCCACCCCACCCCACCCCACCCCCCGCCACCTGCAGGGAGCAGCCTCCCCTGCCTCCCTCCCCCAGGGGGGCACCCTGTCTCTCACCGCCACTCACACAGCTGCCGCGGGACAGGCGGTCCCGCCCGGGGCCTCCCCAGGCGTCAGGGCCCTGGGCCCGGCTGGGAGCAGACATTGAACGAGGGGCTCTCAGCCTCTCCCTCTGAGCCGTTCTGACTAAAACGTCATTGAGTGCAGGCTGTTGGACAAGAGCAAGCTGCTAGTGTGTGAAAACTTTTAAACACCTGGCCAGTGTGGCTCAGCGGTTGAGCGTCGACCCAGAAACCGGAGGTCGCCGGCTCGATTCCCGGCCGGGGCACAGGCCCGGGTTGCGGGATTGGTGCCCAGTGTGGGGCGTGCAGGAGGCAGCCGGCCCGTGATGTTTCTCTCTCATAGATGTTTCTACCTCTCTCTCCCTCTCCCTTCCTCTCTCTCTAAAAAAATCCATAAAAACATATTTACAAACAAATAAATAAAAACCTTAAAAAAAAAGAAAGTGCACGAGAGGTTCCTCTCAGCACACGCGTGCCAGGACCTGCCAGCACGTCTCAGGCACCTGCCCGCGTTTCCCCATGGAAACAGGCTGCTGAGCCCCCCCAAGAAGTCACTCGTTTGCCCCAATATCATCCCCCAGACAGGCTGCGCCGAGGACCCAGAACACGAGGCTCCTAAACTGGGGGGGCAGCAGGTTGCAAAGCTGGGAGCCCCTCCAGCACCCGCAGACACCCCCCCGCTCTGGCCAACAGCGTCGCGGTGGAGGTGACCGGTGGTGGTGGTGGTGGTGAGCCTCCCGGGCAGGCCTGGCAGCGGCTGGCGCCACGGGGACCCGCTCACGGCTGGCGGGGGTGGAGGTCGGGGAACCCCGACCCGGCCCGGCCCCAGAGCTACGTCCACGCACACCCACCTCCGGGCTGGAGACGGCCAGCCGAGCGTAAACCCACCTCCTCGCACCTGTCCCCTGTGGGGCGGTGGCCTCCCTCCCTCCCACCGAGACGTGCGGGGGGCTCGGTTTTCCACCTCTGCGCCCTGTTTGGGTGTTTGAGGGCCAATGTTTACCGCGGCCCTAAACACTGACGCTGAGACACAAAGGGACGCTAAAGTCTTACACGTCCGTCAGCCAGGTCAGCGGAACCTCAGCCCCTCGTCTCCCTTACACACGCTTTTTCTCATAAATCTTTTCACAAGCAAACATTGTGCGCGGCGCCCGGCCCGGCCGGGAACAATGGGCGCTTTCATGGGCCCGGCACCCCCGGCCGCGCCAGGCCGCGGCGGGCGCTGACTCACCGGGCAGCCGGCAGGCCCGCGCCAGGGCCCGGTGCTGTTGGCTGTGGTCTGCGGGCCGCGGGCTCCGCGATGAAGTGACGGCTCTCCCGGCTGTTTCTTTAAAAAACACCGCGTCGGGTCGTGCTGCTCTCGCTCAGGACAGCGTGCCGGCGGCTCACTCGCGCCGCAGCCTCTCCACTCCCCTCGCTTCTGCAAACACCCCCCCAGCCTCTCCACTCCCCTCACTTCTGCAAACACCCCCCCAGCCTCTCCACTCCCCTCGCTTCTGCAAACACCCCCCCAGCCTCTCCACTCCCCTCGCTTCTGCAAACACCCCCCCAGCCTCTCCACTCCCCTCGCTTCTGCAAACACCCCCCCAGCCTCTCCACTCCCCTCGCTTCTGCAAACACCCCCCCCCCCCCCGGCCTTTCTCACGTGGGGCCCAGAGAGGTGAGCGGACCCTCTGTGGCGGGAACCTGCCCGCGCCCAGCCCGACAGCGCCTTGGGAGAGGGCGAGCCCGGAGGGAATGTTTCCAAACAGCCAGGAGGCCTTGGGTTTCGTTTCTCCACATCAGGCTTTGATTTCCGTTGCAACCTCGCTCTCTGCCCCGAACGTCTTGGACAAGGTCCCGGGTGCCAGCATCTGCACGGGCGCCTCCCCCCCTCCCCCACGCCCCCGGCACCTCCCGCCGGGCGCCATCAGACCCTCCACCGGCGATCACTCCCCGGGGAGGACTGCAACCGGCTCCCGTTCTAACTTCCGAAAAACCGGGGTGAACGCCGGGAGCAGCCAGCAGCTGGGGGAGCGGCCGGGCAGCAGGTCCCGCAGACACGAGCAGGGCAGGCGGCCCCCACAGCTGGGCACAGGGCAGGGACGGGGCACGGAGGTCCTCCAGCAGCTCAGGTGCCCCCAGGACCCCACAAGGCCCTGAGCAGGACGGACCCCTCCGTCTGCAATGCTGTGGGGCAGCCGATAGAAAGGCTGGTCAGGGGCTCTGGCCGGTGTGGCTCAGTGGATAGAGCAGAGGCCCGCGGACTGAAGGGTCCCGGGTTCGATTCTGGTCAAGGGCATGTGCCTCGGTTGCAGGTTCCCCGGCCCTGGTCAGGGTGCTTGCAGGAGGCAACCGATCGAGTGTCTCTCTCACATCGATGTTTCTCTCTCTGTCCCTCTCCCTTCTCCTCTCTCTAAAAATCAATGGAAAAATATCCTGGGATAAGGATTAACAACAACAAAGAGGAAGGAAGGAAAGGAAAGGAAGGGGAGGGGAGGGGAGGGGAGGGGAGGGGAGGGGAGGGGAGGGGAGGGGAGGGGAGGGGAGGGAAGGGGAAGGGAGGGGAGGGAAGGGAAGGGGAAGGGAAGGGGAAGGAAAGGGGAAGGAAAGGGGAAGGGGAGGGGGAGGGGAGGGGAGGGAAGGGGAAGGGAGGGGAGGGGAGGGGAGGGGAGGGAAGGGAAGGGGAAGGGAAGGAAAGGGAGGGGAGGGAAGGGAAGGGGAAGGGAAGGGGAGGGAAGGGAAGGGAAGGGAAGGGAAGGGAAGGGAAGGGAAGGGAAGGGAAGGGAAGGGAAGGGAAGGGGAGGGGAGGGAGGGAGGGAGGGAGGGAGGGAAGGGAAGGGAAGGGGAAGGGAAGGGAAGGGGAAGGGAAGGGGAGGGGAGGGGAAGGGGAAGGGAAGGGAAGGGGAAGGGAAGGGAAGGGAAGGGGAGGGGAGGGAAGGGAAGGGAAGGGGAAGGGAAGGGAAGGGGAGGGGAGGGAAGGGAAGGGAAGGTGAAGGGAACGGGAAGGGAAGGGGAAGGGAAGGGAAGGGAAGGGGAGAGGAGGGAAGGGAAGGGAAGGGGAAGGGAACGGGAAGGGAACGGGAAGGGAAGGGGAAGGGAAGGGAAGGGGAGGGGAGGGGAGGGGAGGGGAGGGGAGGGGAGGGAAGGAAAGGGGAAGGAAAGGGGAAGGGAAGGGAAGGGAGGGGAGGGGAGGGGAGGGGAGGGGAGGGGAGGGGAGGGGAGGGGAGGGGAGGGGAGGGAGGAGGAAGGAAGATTGCTCGGGAGTCCTCTCCGGCCGAGGAGAAGCCGCAGCTCGCTCGCCCCTCGTCCCTCTCCCAGAAACAAGCATCCCACCGTCTCCACCAGGATCCACGGGGTCAGGGGAGGCCCTGCTCCGCGTGCTCGCCGCCCAGATGTTACGGAAAGCGGCTTCCTCCCGACAGGGCGCGGGGTGAGTACGTGGCCGACGGATGGGCCGACGGGCGCCTCCCCCGCGTCTCTCCTGTGGTTATTGAAACAGGAAGGTTCTGGGCTCCGCGGGGTCAGATGCGGGGCCGTGGCCCGAGGGGGTGGGAGCAGAGGCTCCGAGGCCCCGTGTGAATTCCAGACGGAGGCGGCGGGGAAGCAGCCGAGGGCGCGGCCGCGATGGGACAGTTGGCTGCTCGGCTGGAATGAGGTTCCACCGACTACACACAGAGGGAGCAGGCCGAGGGCTGGGAACAGCGCTCTCCCCGCGGCCCCCCTCCCCGCGCCCCCTCCCTGCACCCCATCTCTCCTCGCGCCCCCTCCCTCCTCGCAACCCCCCTCCCCGCGCCCCCTCCCTCCTCGTGACCCCCCCTCCCCGCGCCCCCTCCCTCCTCGTGACCCTCTCTCCCCGCGCCCCCTCAATCCTGGCACCCCCTCCCTCCCCGTGGCCCCCCTCACCACGCCCCCTCTCTCCCCGTCCCCCCTCAATCCCTGTCAAGGGCTCCAGTGAAGCCACTTTGCTAAAGCAGGAGGCCCAGCTGCTAGGAGTCTAAATATCGGGACTGATTCACTCTCAAGTCCTGGAGAGAGAGAGAGAGAGAGAGAGAGAGAGAGAGAGAGAGAGAGAGAGAGAGAGAGGCAGAGAGAGAGAAATGCCCAGTGACAGGGAATAAGCCTGGTGAACTGGCCGCTGAGACGCTGTAACGTGCCGTCGGAGGCAGGAACAGGTTTGCTTGCGAAGATCTGAGCGTCGGCTCGGACATGACAGGCCCCACGCCGCCCCACGCGGAGAGCCTGGTGTGCGGGCGGGGCGACCACGCACCCGGGGCCGGGAGGGGACCAGGCTCTGAAGTGACACCGTGAACTGCCAGGCCCCGGCCCCGGTGGCTGGTTTCCGCCGACAGCGGTCTCCTAACGACTTCTCCCCGAAACACACGGCCGCGAAGCGCCGACTCCCGGCGGCTCTCCCCACCGGGCAGTCCGATCGCCGCGCGCCCCGCGTGGATCCGGCACCAGCCCGCCTCCCTCCCAGGCGCCCGTCCACCCACGGAGCGAGGAGAGGCCTGCCGACCTGTCCTTGCGTCAAACCAACGTTGGATCCCGCCCCCTAACCCGGCCGTGGCTTCGCAGCTCGAGGGGCTGCAGAGAGGAGCCCCGCGTGGCTGGAGGGCGAGGGAGAACCACCAGATTCCTTCTCCGGCCCAGCCCGGCCTTTCCTGCCCCAGGACAGGCGGTGGCTGCCTCTGTCGCGTGAACTGAACGGGGCCCCGTGAGGCGCGGGTAGAGGGAGGCACCACGGCCCTCGGGGCCCAAGGAGCCCAGCCGCCCGCTGAAGGCCTCGCCGTAAGGACGGAGGCGTTCCCGGCCTCGCGGGATCTGCGGCTGCGCCCACGGGCAGGCTGAAGCCGGGTTCTCAGGCCTGGCTCCCGGGCCGTCTCCCTCCCCAGAGGCCAGGCTGGGGTGACCAGGCGCGCCCGGCCGGCGGGCTCAGGGGCTGAGCGTCAGCCGTGAACCAGGAGGTCACGATCCGGTTCCCAGGCGGCGCGCAGGCCAGGGGGCGTGCAGGAGGCAGCCGAGCCTTGATTCTCTCTCCTCATGGATGTTTCTCTCTCTCCCTCTCCCTTCCTCTGAGATCAGTAAAAACATATTTAAAAAAAAACAAAAACAGGTCACCACTTCCTCGTTTACTTAACTGCTACTTTGTTCCAAGAGAGGCTCCAACGTTCAGCTCGGGGATCACACTGGGGCCTTTGTCTCCCGGGGCAGAGGCAGCCGGGACGCAATTTACGCAACTTCTCCTTCTCCCTGCGGACGGGCTGCCCGCTCCGTGCCAGTGCCACCCCCTCCCCCCGCAGGCCCCTCCTCCCGCACGCACACCTGAGGGCCGGGGGCTCCTGCACGCCCCCCACTGGGGATCAAGCCCGCAACCTGGGCCTGGGCCCTGACTGGGAATCGAACCCTGACCTCCTGGTTCCTAGGTCGACGCTCAACCACTGAGCCACCGGCCAGGCAGGGGGCCTTTTTCTAACACTACTGAGTCCCAGCGCCTTTGCTTTCGAGACATAAGGATCCTGAACCCAAACGTTAAAGGACGGATCCGAGGGCACAGCCCTGAGCGGCAGCCCTCCCAACCCCCCCCCCCCACGGACACGCGAGGGCCAGGCTCACAGCCCGGAGCCCCTCTCCGCGGGGAGCCGTGTGCTGTCACCCCAATCCCCGAGATGGGAACCTCCCGCCCACTTCCCCTTGCAAGCGAGCGGCTGGAAGGAACGGCGCCGATTAGCGAGGATCCCGCGAGCTCCTAATGGAGCAGCTCCTCACACACAACACGGCCATTTCATGCCAGGACACGGACGTCGCCCGCAGGACACAGATGTCACCTGCAGGACGGGGACGGGGATGCCTTTGCTGAGGAAGAACTTCCATCACAAGGTCCCCCGCCTGAGGCTTCGTCACGTCTGCACCACGACCTCCAAGGCACAGCAGCAAACCAAACACCACCCAGCGGTGCGGCTCCGTGTAAGCGTCACCCATGAACCAGGAGGTCAGGGTTCGATTCCTGGTCACGGCACAGGCCCAGGTGGCAGGACCCATCCCCAGTGGGGGACGTACAGGAGGCAGCCGATCCACGATTCTCCCATCCCTGATGTTTCTCTCTCCCTCTCCCATCCTCTCTGACATCAATAAGAATATATTTTAAAACAATAAAAATAAATAAAAACCTCGGAGAATGTGCGCTCTCCCTGGTTCAGCCTCATTTCCTGTGTGAGGGGCCGTGATCACACAGCCACGCACTCAGCGCGGACCCGCGGGCACCAGCCTGTCCCCGTGCGGGCCTCAATCCGTGTGCCCAGGAGCCGAGGTGCCCGGAGGACCGGCTGCCGCCCAGTGCGTCGACACGAGGCCCCTTGGCGGCTCCGTGCTCACGTCATTGGTGCTTTTCTTGGCCTACGACGCGCCAGGCGAGCTCCTGGCCGGTGCGGTGACATCATCGGGCCTTTCCCGCGTGACCCCGCAGGCTCGGCGCCCCGCACTCCGCACCCTTGGACCCCTGGCCGGGAGCCGCGGGAGCCACACAGCTCAGACTCAGCAGCCGCTCAACCCGGGCCTCCGCTCAAGGCCTCGGAGACGCGCGGCCCCAGAGCCTCCCCTGAGGGCGGCGGGGGAGGGCTTCTCGATGTTCCACTTAACTCAGCCCACGGCTGCGCTGGCTGGGGTGGCCAGGCCGGGGCTCCCCACGCCTGGAACGGCCCCCCCCCACCCACCCGTGGGCACCCCAGCCGGTCCCCGCAGAGCCGCGATCCCCCCAAACCGCCCAGCACCTCGTTCTCGCCCCACAGTGACCGGCTCATGCTCGGGGGGAGGCATTTAGAACGTGTTGCCCCCGAGTGGAATCCAAGCCCCAGGCCCTCTGAGCTCTCCGTGGACGGGACACGAACACCAAAATGAACGTCCGCCCCTCTCCTCTCACACGTGAGGGTTCAGCGAATATCTGAACACGGAGATGCTGTCCAGACTCGCCCCATAAATGTCTCTGTGAGGAAACAGAGCTCCAGGCTCAGCCTCCTGTGAACATCACCGGACCCGGGTACCGCAGGCCGACAGAACAGTGAAATGTTCAACGGCTCCTCCTTCCTCCCTGAAGACTGACACGGAAATAACGGCCGCACGATGCTTTCGAAGGCAGTGTCTTATGGACTTAACTGACGTTCACTCGATAGAAAATCAGAACGGTTTTCTGTTCACTTCTCAGTTAACCCAAAACGTCAATTACCCAAATCTATGTCACGTGGTTCATCAGCTTCGGGGAGTTCTTCATGGCTCTCGGGGCAAGTCCAAGACCGGGGGTCTCCCTCTTGGGGGGGTGTCTGTTCTACACATGAGGGGGTGGGCGCAGGTTCGAGGCGTCACAACGGGAAAAGCCCTTTGACGACATGAGTCCAGGGGGGCTCTGGGTGAGGCCTCAGCAGCTGTCAGCACCCTGCCCATCGCTTGGAGGGACAGCCTGATGAGCCCAACGCAGGACCCCGGGCAGGTGGCGACAGTGAGAGTCAGGAGGGACGACGAGACGGAAAACACGGCTTCTACCAAGAAAGGGACACCCAGCCCGCGTCCCCACGGCAGGAGGCCGGTCCCATCGCCCCGTGCTCCACGCTGTGGGTGCTCACGCAGAGGAACACCCGTTCTCCGTCACTGACGGCAAAGCCCCGCACAGGCACAGCGGGAGAAATGGGAGCTCCCCGGACAACAGGCCACGCGGTCTGAAGACATTTCATTAAAATAGCACTTTGATCAGAAGGGACTGAGCCTGGCCAGCGTTGCTCAGTGGTGAGCGTCGACCTAGGAACCAGGAGGTCAGGGTTCATTCCCGGTCAGGGCACAGGCCCGGGTTGTGGGCTCGGTCCCCAGTGGGGACCTGCAGGAGGCAGCAGATCCATGGTTCTCTCTCATCATTGTTCCTCTTTCTCCCTCCCCCTCCCGTCCTCTCTGAAATCAATAAAAATATGTATAAAAATAAAAGAAAACACGTTTCTCCTGCAGCGTCCCTGTCCCCTCCCCTCACAGCCGGCGTTTTTCAGAGCGAGCTCAGCCCGGGCGCGTGGGCCGTTTTCACACCAGGTCCGTCTCGTACGGGGCGACGCTCGGCCGAGAGCCGCACGCAAAACGCACGAAACCGGACTCAGAAGGAAACAGGCCCCGTCCCCCGACAGGAGAGCCCGCCCCGGGTGACGGCTCGGGTTCAGGAAGAGCGAGAGCCCCGCCCGCAGCCGGGGAGCGACTCACCCACGACGTCGAGGTGGTAGGTGTGGTTGATGGAGCCGCCCGCGTTCTCCACCACGCAGGTGTAGTTGCCTTTGTCGGAAGGGACCACGCTCTCCATGATCAGGCTCCAGTGCTGGCTGCGCACCTGCAGGGGCAGAGCGGAGGCGGTCAGCGAGTCCGTGGCCTCAGCACAGAGCGCCCGGCACTGGGTTCTAGATTCAAGTAGTCGGGGGGGGTGGCGGGGGGGGTTGAGGAAGGTCAGGATCTCCTGAAGCTGCCCGGCCGGCGAGGAACCAGGAGGTCAGGGTGCGATTCCCGGTCGGGGCACAGGCCTGGTTGTGGGCTCCAACCTCAGTGTGGGGCGTGCAGGAGGCAGCCAGTCCATGATCCTCTCATCATGGATGTTTCTCTCTCTCCCTCTCCCTCCCTCTCTGGAATCAGTAAAAATATATTAGACAAAAGAAAAAGCATCTCCTGAATTCTAACTGCCCTCATGCGAGCACGCAGACGGTGACAAACGGGAGCAACGGTCGCGGTGGTGAATGGTGAGCAGCGGACACGTGTGTTCGGACGCCCAGGCGTGTGGGCATGAGTCACTGTCACAGGTCCGAGGGCCCCCTGAGTCGGGGCCCCGAGCGCCACCTGCAGTGCCTGTGCCCAGGGACAGTGCACCCCCAGCTGGCCCACCCGCTCGGCCCCAGGGCACCCAGGAAGCGTCCAGGGCCCCCGAGCCACCTGCACACCAGGCACGGCCCTGAGCCCCCTCCCTCCGCTGATGCGGCTCCCCCAGGCCTCCCATTTCCCCCACGTCCCCGAACGGGGTCTGGAAGCCTCCAGAACATTCCGCTCTCCTCGCTGGCGAGAGCGGAAGAGATGCTCCTGCTCCTGAGAAACAGACACAGAATCCAAACCCGGAGCCGAAGCCGTAGCGCCTGAGGCACTCGCAGTCCACTCCCCGTGGCCCACTCCCTGTGGCTCACACCCCGTGGCCCACTCCCCGTGGCTCACACCCCGTGGCCCACACCCCGTGGCCCACTTCCCGCGGCCCACTCCCCGCGGCCCACTCCCCGCGGCCCACACCCCGCGGCCCACACCCCGCGGCCCACACCCCGTGGCCCACACCCCGCGGCCCACTCCCCGCGGCCCACTCCCCGTGGCCCACTTCCCGTGGCCCACTCCCCGTGGCCCACTCCCCGTGGCCCACACCCCGTGGCCCACTTCCCGCGGCCCACTCCCCGCGGCCCACTCCCCGTGGCTCACACCCCGTGGCCCACACCCCGCGGCCCACTTCCCGCGGCCCACTCCCCGTGGCTCACACCCCGTGGCCCACTCCCCACACCCCGCAGCTCACTCCCCACTGCTCACTCCCCACGGCTCACTCCCCGCGGCCCACACCCCGCAGCCCACACCCCGAGAGCCTCAGAGACGACACACGTGGGAAGCACGTCGCCACGCTCCTGCCCACGGGCGTCCACATGCAAACAGACTGCTCCCTGCTGCTCCCCCCGCTTTCACACACATGAACAGACTCACAAGGACCCAGGGCACCCCCAGATCAGGCTCCAGCACGTCTCTCCCTCCCACATCGTCTCTCCCTCCCACATCGTCTCTCCCTCCATCGTCTCTCCCTCCCACAGCGTCTCTCCCTCCCACAGCGTCTCTCCCTCCCACAGCGTCTCTCCCTCCCACATCGGCGCTGAGCCTGGGACCAGGGACGGTGGAGGAACGGCAGGAAGATAACTGCAGGCGGCTCCTCTCACCCCTTCTTTCAGGAATGGGGACTGGCCTGCGTGGCCCCCGAACATGGACACATGTCCTGCCTCCGTCACTGACGCGGGGCCACACCCGCAGACCCACAGGAGCCACGGGCAGGTTAGGGCTGGGCCGGAGGGCACAGTCAGCTCATCCGCCTCCCGTGTCAGGGCTGTCGGCTTAGAGAGGCAGCGGCAGCCGGGGTGCGGCTCTGAGGGCACTGCCACCCGAGGACGCTTCTCACGCAGGGTCAGCGCTGCACACACCACGCTGCACGCGCCACGCTGCACGCGCCACGCTGTACACACCACTGCTGCACGCGCCACGCTGCACGCGCCACGCTGTACACGCCATGCTCCACACGCCACTGCTGCACACGCCACGCTGCACACGCCACTGCTGCACGCGCCACGCTGCACACGCCACTGCTGCACACGCCACGCTGCACACGCCACTGCTGCACGCGCCACGCTGCACACGCCACTGCTGCATGCACTGACGCCGAGGTCAAAAGGAAGATCCGCTCACCACCAAGTCTTAGGAAGGACCAGGGGCTGAAGGCTGGACTCTGCCTTTTTTTTTTTTTTTTTAAATAGACTCTCATTGATTTCAGAGAGGAAGGGAGAGGGAGAGGGAGATAGAAGCATCTACCATGAGAGAGAATCACCCATTGACCGGCTGCCTCCTGCACACCCCCTACTGGGGATGGAGCTCGCAACCCGGGCCTGTGCCCTTGACCAAAATCGAACCCAGGACCTTGCAGTCTGCAGGCCAACACGCTATCCACTGAGCCAAACCGGCGAGGGTTTTGTTTGTTTTTCTCTTTTAATAACAGCTTTATTGAAATATAAATTAACATACCATATGAATCAGCCATTGAAGTTGTACAATTCAATGAGTTTTGGTATGTTATTATTTTTTAAAACTATGGTAACTATATATAACAAAATTTACTACTTTAACCATCCTTTAGAAATTTTAAAATTATCTTTTAATCTTTATTGTTGAAAGGGTTACAGGTGTCCCCTTCCCCCACTGACCCCTTATAGCCGCCCCCATAGCCCTACTGCCTGGCCCCATGGGTTGTGCACACAAGGTCTGTGGTTGATCTCTCTCCACCCACCCTCCCCCGCCCTCTCGCTGCAGTTCCGCAGTCCGTTCGCTGCTTCCATGTCTCTGGATCTACTTTTGTTCATCAGTTTATGTTGTTCATTAGATTCCACATACGAGTGAGATCCTGGGACACTTGTCTTTCTCTCACTGGCTTATTTCACTCAGCGTCATGCTCCCCAGGTCCCTGCAGGCTGCCCCCAAGGGTAAGGGATCCTCCTCTTTGCAGCTGCACAGCATTCCACGGTGTGACTCTCCACAGCTCTTACCCACGCGTCTGCTGACGGGCACTCGGCTGTTTCCAGATCTCAGCTCTTGTACATGGTGCTGCGATGAGCATGGGGCGCACATGTTCGTTCTGATGGGGTTTCAGATTCCAGGATGCCGTCCCGGAAGGGGGGTCGCTGGGTCAGAGGGCAGTGCCACGTTCCATTTTCTGAGGAGACGCCGTGCTGCTTCCCAGGGGCTGGCAGCCTGCGTCCCCCCCAGCAGCGCACGGCACGAGGGTCCCCTTCTCCCCACTTCCTCGCCGAAGGCTGGACTCTTCTCCACAAAACCACCAGCAACGCACACAGACGGGGTCCGAGCCGCCGGTCACGGAGCCCCGCCCCTGCCTGGCCGAGGACACTGCCCGGGGCACCACCTCACGGGGCTGATGACGGACAGGCACGCTCACCCGCAGGTGACGCGAACGCAGTGAAACGGATCCGGAGGCCTCGGACCAACAGCCGAGCAGGTCTGTGCTCTGGGCTGGGGGACACCCCCCTCGGGTCCCGGCTGGGCCACAGCCTTGCAGCCGGACCACAGCGAGAGGCGAGGTCCCTCCCAGGCTGCCGGCACCTCCTGCAGGAAGCACTGCGGCTGCTCTGACGGAGAAGAGGCGGCGCCGACTTTCCCAGGACAATTGAAACGACCCAGCTCGGCCGGTGGGGCTCAGGGGCCGAGCGTCGACCTAGGAACCAGGAGGTCAGGGTTCCATTCCTAGTTGGGGCACAGGCCCGGGTTGCGGGCTCGATCCCCCGTGTGGGGCATGCAGGAGGCAGCCGACCCATGATTCTCTCTGGTCATTGATGTTTTTCTCTCTTTCCCTGCCTCTCTGAAATCAATAAAAATATTTTTTAAAAAATAAATAAATAAAAATAAAACTCTGCCTAAATCCCAGCCCCTGGCTGCTGACCTGGAGCTGTCGGCCCAGAGCATGAGGCAGCAGGGCCAGCGCCCTGGCTCAGCTCCCGGCGAACGGCCCCAACGAGACCTGCCCTCCCCCAAAGCTCTCGGGGTGCCAGGGAGGGGACTCCCCCGGCTCTGAGCAGCCAGCCCTGGGGAGGGCGACTCGGGGTGAAGCCACAGGCCCGGCGTCACCGAGCCCGTAATCCCGCACAGGGCCCTGCTGTAAACACAGGTCTCTGAGCCCCTGCTCAGATGTCGCTCCCGTGAGCCCTTAATCGTGGCCAAGGCCCATTTCTGGACCCCGTCCAACCCGCTGATGTCTTTCCAGAGCCGGGGTCCAGGCTGGGCACACGGCGTGTTCCCAACGGAGCTGAACCCCAACAGGCGGGAGGCACACCTGCGGCCGGCAGGCCACGGCCACGGCTAACCCGGCCCCAGGGCAGCCCGTCTCCCGGGCCGTGGCGATCCCTGCTCACGGCGCCGGCCCTGACACCAACTTCCTGGAGACGCCACAGGTATTATAAAATCATACGTTCACACGGATCAGCGCTTTCAGCACGAGACGCACACTGACCCCGGGCTCTGCCCCACAGAAACCCCGGTGCTGGGTCAACGCTGCCCCACGGGGCGATGTCTGGCCTCCACCTGCAGCTCCCGCCACGCCTCACACACCAACCCAGACCCACGCGCCGTGGCACTGCCCACGTGGTGCCCTCGGCCACCAGCAGGGGGGCTGCGTGGTCATGCGGGAGGGGTCCCCCCAACAGTCGTGGCTTCACGAGAAGCTACGAACAGTAACTCCCTGAAGGCGGGGAGCGGAGGCACGCGGACTTGGGGGGTGTTTTGTGGGCTTTCGGGAGTTTTGTTTTTGGTTGTTGTTAATTCACTCAAGGACATTTTTCCATTGATTTTTAGAGAGAGGCCAGGGGAGGCAGGAGACAGAGAGAAACATCGATGCGAGACACACATGGGTTGGCTGCCTCCTGTACGCACCCCGACCGGGGCCAGGGATCGAGCCTGCAACCAAGGACGGGCCCTTGACCGGAATCGAACCCGGGACCCTTCAGTCTGCAGGCCGACTCTCTCCACTGAGCCGCCCCGGCCAGGGCTGTGCTGTTTTCTCAATATTCTGTTTCCACACCCCAAGTCAGTGTAGCCGTTCCCACAAAAACGTACACTCCTCACCAACGTTCTGTCTGAAGCCCCCGGCTCTCTGGTTTTCCTGCCAGTTTGGGCCCAGGCGGGCACAGCAGCTTTGCGCACGGAGGAGGAGATGCAAACTGTCATCAAAGACGAGGCCTTTGTGCCCAGCCAGCATGGCTCAGTGGTGAGTGCCGACCTATGAACCAGGGGGTCCCAGTTCAATTCCTGGTCAGGGCACAGGCCCGGGTTGTGGGCTCCATCCCCAGTATGGGGCGTGCAGGAGGCAGCCGATCCGTGATTCCCTCTCATCATTGACGTTTCTGTCTCTCTCCCTTCCTCTCTGCTCTTCCCTGAAATCAATACAAAATATATTTTTTAAAATGAGGCATTCGTATGTTCCCACCTGGTGAGATATCACGTTATTGATAAATGGAAAACCAGTGGCTGAATACAAACATGAACACTCCTGACCCCCTGTGTCAAGTTACACGCGTGCACAGCCCCACGGGTGTGCAGAAGCCTGGATCCATGTGCACGGCCATATACACACGGCTAAAACCAGGAAGAAAAGGTACTAAATGGTTAGCAACAGTTTACATAACGAAATGGTAGGGTTACAAATATTACTTTCTTCTCCTCTTCACTTTTCAAATTTAAACAGGAATCTTGCGCACACACGTGCACACACACACCCCAAAAATAAATGACGTGAACCAGCTTCTTGGGCCTCCCGTGCCCCCTCCCCGCCTCCCCGGCCTCCCGGCCCCCCGGCTCCCCCCTCCTCGCCCCCCCCCCCCGCCTCCCTCGCCTGCATTACTGTCCTGCAGACCTGTCGCCTGGCAGAAACTTGAGCCACAGGGACGAGGGACCCTGCAGCAGCCAACACGTGCGCCTCTCCCCGCCCCTGCCCGTGGCCCAATCTCCGTGGAATCGTTCCCTGCGGTTCATCTGCAGGAGCAGACGGAGCGGACGGGGCTGCAGACCTGGCTAGCTCCAGGCTCTCAGGACTGACACTTCGAGGCTGAACAAAGCCACTGGAGCCCGAACCCTCGCCCTGTGAGACAGAAACCGGATTCCGCAAGCACCCCACACCCGTCGCCACGGAGACAAGAGGCGGCTCAGACAGGTTTTCGGAATCCTCATCTCCTGGATCCTCCCAGGCGCCCGTCACCCCCTCCCCCAGCTACCTCCAGGGGACAACTGGGAATGCGGGTTTCGTTTAGGATAATGACACCAAAACACAAAGGTGAAAGGTCAAAGTTTGGCTTCCCCGTGGCACACAAAGCCCAGACATTTCCCAAGAGCCAGGTGTGCGATAAGCAGAGGCAAACTCGCAGGAGCCGGGAGACACGCAGGCTGCGCGCCAGGCGGCTGTGCCAACAAACACGCCGGCTCCCCTCCACCACCGGCCGGTGCACAGGGACAGCCCCCCTCAACCTCGGCCATCACCACAGCGCCCCACGAACCGCAGCGCAACACAGACCAAGTGCTGCCAGGACGAACAAACGCCCGCGGCCCGGCCACGCCCCCGGGGGCCCCAGGCCACCCCTCCGGGACGCGTGTGCGTGAACGGGGTGACACGTGTCGAGGGCTGGGCTCTTATGGCTGCAGATGGGAGCCAACACCCCTTTAACCTTAAACACCAAGACGTTTGCTTTGCAGGAGGTGCCCGCGGAGCAGGGCTGGGCGAGCCGGGTCCTCAGGGCGCGAGAGCTCCCCTCCCCTCCGCTCCCAGCCCCGATCTCCCGGGACGCGGGCGTGAGCACGGACGGCCGTGCCCTGCAGATGCTCGGAGAGGAACCGGGGGCAGAGTGCCAGCCGGGCACCACCTGCCTTTTGAATTTAACTCTGAGAATCTCAAGACCTGCCCAGTGGGTGTGGCTCAGCAGCCGATGCCATCAGGGCGCAGGCCCAGGTGCGGCTCGGGCCCTGGAGGAGGGTGTGTGGGGGCAGCGATGGACGTTTCTCACGTAGATGTTTCTCTCTGCCCCTCTGCCTTCCTCTCTCTCTAGAAAAGCCAATTAGAAAACCTTTAAAAAAAGAAAGTGTTGTTTTATGTTGTCTTTTCCCCAGAGGCGGCGTCCTGTGGCCTCTCTCGTTCTCGTGCGGCCGGCGCGTGGCGTGAGCGATGGCTCTGAGGACGCCCTCGCCCTCGGTGCCTGAGCATCGCCCAGGAGTGAGCTGGGGACGGAGCCGTCTGTTAATGACCTCGGGCGCCGCGGGCTCGGCCGCACTGAAGTGTAATAACTGTTCCGGGTCCACGAACGCTCAGCCTGTGAAGGAGCCTCCATCGCGGTGACGCTCGAGGCCGGTTTCCAGCTGGAGGGACCCATGTTCACGACGACCATCGACCTGCTCACTCTCAGAGAAACAGACATTTGCATGGATCTCGGGCGGCCACGGCCTCCCTCCCGGATGGGCACAGGCCTGGGGCGGGCCTAACTGCGAGGGGGACTCATGCTCTCGGGGACCACGTTCCCCAGGGGATGGAGGTCTCCGTCTCCCCCTGGCCAGTCCCAGCAGCCTCCGGGGCCCCGTGGGGTCTGTTTCCGCTCCCCGACGCGGAACGTCCAACTCCTCTGTGGCAAAGCCCCAACTGCACCCAGGCCGACTGCCTCTGCCTTCGACGGGGTGACCCCCAGGCCGCTCACCCCGCCGGCCACAGCCTCTGCCCCGGGAGAAGGCCCAGCCCAGCACGAAACGCCCCCTGGGCCCTGCCAGCCAGCACGCCCCGTCCCACAGGGCACAACCCCGGCCTGTGCCTGGTCAGGAATCGAACCGTGACCTCCTGGTTCCTAGGTTGATGCTCAGCCCCTGAGCCCCGCCGGCCGGGCACCATACACTTGAAAGTCCTCCCTCTCTATACGGAATAACTTGGAGATTATGCATCGCTCACTCTGAGCTACCCTTCCTCCAGGCTCAGCTGGGATCCTCGTCTCCCTGCCCCGCGTCTCCCCAAGAGCCGACATCACGCCTCCTGCAGGGCCCAGGGCCGCGCACCTCTGACCAGGAGTCCCCGCGAGCTGGGCCTGAGCTTCACCCGGCGCCCGGGACGGTGCCCAGGCACCACTTGCTGAACGGACGGGCGGGGGCCTGGCGGCCTCTACAGGCACCTTCCAGGGACGGCTGTCCACTGCACCCTGGGGCGCGAGGGCAAGACTCACTGCACACAGCCAGGGGTGAGGGGCCGAGTCCTCGAGGACAGAGGACAGCAGGTCGCCGCCCTTCCTGCGGGACAGTCCGCGCGCCAGGCCCCGTCCAGGCTCACGCAGCCCTGCTCGCGCCCAGGAACTGTGCTTACGCCCAGCCCGTCGGCCGCAGTCTGGGTTTAGAGACCATAAAGCGTGTAGGAAACAGACTCTCAACTTTCGGCCCTTCCGCTGCTACACTCGCTTCCCGTGACGCACAGCGCGAACGGGGCTGCCCTTCGGAATTGCAGGCGCGGCCGGGCTCACGGCAGCAAACACGGAAACTACCCGTGACGATGGCGCAGCTTCTTCCCGTTCCCGCCCGTTCCCGTGAGCTCCCGGCGCCCCACAAAACGAATAATTAAAAACAGCGCGAGACCCCTCCCCCCCATGTGGAGAGCGCGCCGTACCTTATACCCTCCGATGCGGTGCTCCTGCCTGAACTCCTTCCCGTTCTTCAGCCACCGCATGGTGGGCGTGGGGTTCCCGCCGGCCGGGCAGCGGAACTTGACGGTGTTGGCGGCGGGCACGGCGTGCAGCCGCTTCTCCATCTTCTCGGTGCTGGTCCAGTAGGGCGCTCCTGTGGGAACACACGGGACAGTGTGGGCGGCAGCCTCTCCCCTCCGCTCGCCCCCGTGGGCGCGGTCATTGCCGTGCGTGCGCGGGCGGAGGCTGGCGAAGCGGGGGCGAGAGCCACGTTAGGAGAGACCAGCTGAGGTCGCCGGAGAGGGCGCGTGGGTTTCCTGGTTTCTATTTTTCGGTGAACCCTCACCCAGGATGCTTCCCGTTGGCTTTTAGCGAGAGCGGAGGGGAGAGGGCGAGACAGAGAGAAACACGGACGTGAGAGGCACAATTCTCCCTCCACGTCGAGCTGGCCGCTCAGCAGGCAGCGGCGGGGACCGTGATCTGTAAAGCTGTCCCCTCCAAGTCCTCGGGGGCGGTTTTAAACTCGAGGAGGTGGGGGGTTTGTAAATTTGCCGAAAGTGGGACGTATTCTCTGCCCAGAGTCACGGCGTCCCCGCCGCCAACCCTCGCGCCACCGACAACGGCTCAGCCACCGACCGTGAGGAGCACAAAGCGATTACAACCTGACCTGAGGAAGGCAGCCCTCGGGGGCCTCACCCTCGGGGGCCTCACCTTCAGGAGCCACACCCTCAGGGCCGCACCCTCGGGGCCGCTCCGTGTGGCTCTGTGAGTGACCACAAAGCCTGCTCACGCGAACTCCTAGACCTGGACGGAGGGGCCCACAGGCAGCGCGGCCCCAGCCGAGCGGGCCCCTGGGAACGTCCTCTCCTCCCACATAAAGGAACCAGCAGGTAGGGCTGCCCCGTCCCGGGCAGGACTGTGATGCTCCCGAAAACGCCACCCAGGGGACTCTCACAGAGGCGCTGGGAGGGGGCTCCGTGCCTCCCTTGCTGGGCTGAGCGGCCGGGGGCTGCGCCCACACGGGCATCACCCAGGGGCCTGGCGGGCAGCCTGGCGGCAGGACCTTTGTGGTGGCACCTGAGGAGCGACTGAGGGACGAGGGGAAAGAGCCCGGGGGCGTCCTGGCAGGTGGCCACTCCCCGGGGGGCCCTTCCATCGCCACGGCTGCACCTGAGAGCGGGGCCCGTGCAGACCAGACACACGGCCGCCGTGCAGCCAGCTGGGCGCCTGCTGCCCCCTCCCCGCGAAAGGCGCAGACCCACGGTGGCGGCACCTCCTCAACACGTCACCACAGGCTCGAACCCTGGACTCACATTCTCTCTCCCCCGGACCCGGTAAGCCGTGACTCAACAGAAAGGGCAGTCGAGCCGTTTCCGAGGCTCCCTGTGCCCGGGACGCCCGCCCCCTCCGGTGGGTGCGGAGGTCATGAGGCCTCCCTTGAAGACGGCAGCTCAGGGATTTTTTTTAATATTTTTTTATTGATGTCAGAGAGGAAGGGAGAGAGAGATCGAAGCATCAATGACGGGAGAGAATCATGAATCGGATGCCTCCTGCACGCCCCCCACTGGGGATGGAGCCCGCTGACTGGGAACCGAACCCTGACCTCCTGGTTCACGGGTTGACGCACAACCACTGAGCCGCACTGGCTGGGCCTCAAGGAGGCTTTAATGAGCCCGATGCCGAAGGGAGGAATTATTTTCTTATTTGACAACGGCTCTTCCAGGACAAGCTGGCTTTGGGGAAGCCCACAAAACCTGGAGGTGAGAGACACGATTACGTGTAGGAGAAGGCCCGTGTCCTCTGCTAACTCTTCCGGCCTCACCATGTCAGCGGCCTGGGCGCAGGGAGGAGCCAGGGCTCCCCAAACACAGGGCAGCGGGTGAGAAACGGACAGGCTGCCGGCCCGCCCCTCGACCAGGGAGCCTCCTCTCCGAGGCTGGGGACACGCTCATGACTTTCATCTGAGACGGTAACTCATGACCTGCGAACCGGAGATGCCCAGGCAGGCGCTCAGGACAGGTGTTTACTCCTCAGCCTGGGTCTGCGTCGCGCTGCTCGAGGGAAATGCAGGCGTCCGCGCCGCACACCCCCCTGGCGGAGCCTGCGGACGGTGGGGCTGGGTGGGAGCCAAGAGGAGGGGCTGTGAGACGAACCCCGACGGCACAACGAATGGTTCTACTGCATCCAGTTGGCCCGGACGACAGGCACGGCCCCTCGGCTCTGACCTCTCGACCTCTCGATCTCCGATCTCCGATGGAATCTGTGGCTGCAGAACGAGGCCCCCGGGCACGAAACACTAACAAGGAGCTTAAAGGAACCGCGAGACCGCAGAGGTGCATCCACCTGCCCAGCGTGGCTTCTGCACGACAGTCACTCCATGTAGTAACAATGCAGAGCCTGACTCCACGGCAGCCTCTCTCGAGACGGGGCTGGTTACCCAGAGGCTCCTCACCACCCCCACAGGAGCTCCCCTCCGGTCCCCTCCGCGCAGGCTTCTCCACACCTGCACCCCAGCAAAGGGCGCCACCCTCCCCGGGCCCCTCTGTCATCCACACGAGTTCCCATCACCAGCTGTTTCCAAACTAAAAACCACTCCTCCCGATGTCTGCCGGCGGCAAGAGCAGAGCAGGGCAGGTACGACTTGAGTTGACTTTAGCCTGTGGAGTATCAGATGGAGGGGGGGAGGCAGGAGGGAGAGGGAGGGATAGATGGAGAGATGGATGAAGGGATGAATGGAGGGATGGAGGGATGAGGGATGAGGGATGGATGAAAGGATGGATGGATGGAAAGGTGGACGGATGGAAGGAGGATGGATGGATGGATGGAGGGGTGGATGGATGGGTGGGTGGATGGAGGCAGGGATGGATGGATGGACCAACATATGAACCAGAAGGACAAGTGTTGAAAGGAGGGAGTAGAGTGCATGTTGGTTTGGCCCCTCCCGGCGCTACCCTCCCTCCCAGCACCTCTATCCCAGGCAGACACTGATTCTGTCAACAAGTGGGAGGACTGGAGGCCTCACTCTGAGCCTGTAATTTAAATGCAACGAGAAACACAGGCTGCACTGCCCCACCCAATCCCGACGCGTCCCAGACTGACATCGAAGGGCTACGGCCTCTGTCTCCCCGAAACCAAAGAGAGAGACGCCAGCCCAGAGTTTAAAGGAAAACAGGGCATCGTGTTACCACCGTCCACAGGCGGCCTCGGGACCATCTGGCCCACGGCTGACGTGGTCAGTGCCACCAGCGGGTGAGTGATTTGATCAAGGTCACCCGGCGAGAGGCCGGGCCGGGGCCGCCCAGTCTCCGGCTCCCCGAGCAGTGCCCTCCCCACCCCCCGGCCGCCCTCTGAACTCTCCCATGGTAACTGAGTCAGAAGTTCAAGATTTACGTGCGCTGTGGGCACTGGTGACTGCCAACTGCATTTTTATTGATGCAAAAATAAAAGAAACACAGCCCGTTTCAGCCCCTAGATTAAGTCTCCCAAACTCCCTAAAGCTCCACGGAGGCCTGTGCCTAAGTCTATAATCAGGGCCTTTAAACCTATCACTAATCGCGACATCTGAGGGCTTTGCGCCTGCGTGGAGGGCTGTCCCGGAGGCCCCGCCCCACCATCATCTGTTTTCAGTTTTCCATGAACTAAGAGAAATACTCCAACAAAACACGAGATAGGAGTGAGGTGTGATTATGGGGGTGGGGGGGGTGCTTTAGTTGAGGAATCTCATTCAAACAATGAACTTGCTGACAGTGAGACATTCAATAAGAAAAACATTAAAACGAATCAGGCCAGTTACCCCCAGTAAATGCCAGAGGCCACTGGGAGGTCGACCAGCTGCCCCGTGGGAGCTCCCAGGATCCTGTGCCTAACTGGCGTGGCTCAGGGGCTGACCGTCAACCTATGACCCAGGAGGTCAGGGATCGATTCCCGGTCAGGGCACAGGCCCGGGTTTCGGGCTCGATCCCCAGTGGGGGGCGTGCAGGAGGCAGCGGGTCCATGATTCTCTCTCATCATTGACGTTTCTCTCTCCCTCCCTCTCTCTTCCTCTCTGACGTCAATAAAAATATATTTTAAAAAAGAAAAGAAGAAAACCCTGCAATTGCTGGCGAGGCTGTGCCCAGAGGAGCCTGCGGAAGAAGAGACGTCAGCGGAGCCTCAGGCGGCAGCAGGACGGCTGGTGGTGGGAGAAGGGCGGTGAGCGTTTCGTTTCACGAAGAATTTCAGAGTCTAAGGAAGCCTGTGGAATGCGGTTGTGTTTTGTTGTTTTCATTCTTAGAAACGTAAACGTAACTAAGAACCATTTACCGAGGAATCATCGCCACCACGTGAAGGTCCCCATCAGAGCAAAGGTGTCTACGCCGTTGTCAGCAGATCCACCACCAACGGGAGTTCGAGATCTCGGGCCAAGAACCTTCCTTTCCCCGAGTTACATCCAAAACACAAGGCCTTGGTCCCGGGCACAGGCACGGGCATCGGCCACAGGTCCCGACAGGCATGGAACCAAAACAGACACCCCCTTGCCTCTCCTCACGCGGCAGAAGGAGCCGCGTCGCCGCAGGGATCTCGCTGCAGCGGCCTCGCTCCCCACCTGACCCCCGTGTCCATCGTGATCTTCCCGAGAATAGAGCCTCGAGCTCCTCAGAAACAACCACTGACCACACGGTGGAGGCGGGGACACTCGCTCCCCGAAGACGGACACTCGTGTGTCCTCATCTGCTGCCAGGGGACCCGTCCAGACCCAGAACAAGGCCACGTCACGCCTTCCCACGCTGACGTACACGGAACCTTCCGAAGCCCGAAGCCGGGACGCATTCTGAAAACCAGCATTTGAAACGGCCCTTTCTGCCCCGAGAAGGTCGGACGACGGGCGTGTGAGCAGCGGCACTTCCTGGCAGCCCGGCCGGTGATGACATCACAGGGCTGTTCTGCGCGGGAAACGCCAGCGCAGGTGAGATGTGAGGTCCCCGGCGAGTCAGCTGCTATAGTCCGACCCGAGAGTGCCCTTCCCACCTGAGACGGAGGAACCTGGCCAAGAGGGTGGGGGAGTCAGGCCGATCCCCTCGGCCAGGGCAGGGGCCCCGCAGCCTGGGTCTCCACGGCGACAGAGGCCGGGGGTTCACGTGGGTCTATGTCAGTGCCCGGGACGCCCCGAGGAAGGACCGGGTAGCACATGGCTCGCTGCAGCCGAGAAGATGCTGGTGGCTCTGCGTCTCCGAGAAAGGGTCCCACCCAGAGCCCACGTGCGGCAGGAATGCCGTGGCCCTGCTCCTCTCCTCACGGAGACGCCTGTGTCGAATGAGATCCCTGAGAGAAGCAGCTGGAGCCGGGAATCCCACAGAACACTCCCTCCGCGCCCTCCAGAGCGGCCTGCGGGGCGAGGCAGGTCTGAGGCACGCGGTAACAGGCGTGAAGTAAGAACCCAGCCCGATCCGAGAAACCTGGCAGCTCAGGGGGCTTAGGGGAAGCCAGGACACCGGCCCGGGAGCCCGCTTCCAACCCGGTTCCGTTTGAGGAGGGAGCAGTGAGGACCGGCCTGAATGATGCCCGTCAGGCCGGCAGAGGTCAAACCCGGCCTGGACGGGGCACACCCCCGTGTCGGAGCCCCAACGGAACCTGCCTCCCCGTGTTTTTGATGGTTCGTTCTGCCACTGTACCAGGCTTTCTAGGGTCTGAGAAGAACCGACCACGCAGATAAGCCTGCTTCTTTTCATAGTTAACCATCAAAACTAATTAAACAGCAATCAGCCAACGGCAGAGGGAAAAATAACCTGCAGTGCATAGGGTGTCCCCCAAAAATGCAGACATGGACATTTTCTAATAGCTCGGTTGACGTTTCTTTCCTTTCAGTTTAACCTGCCGGAATGGATAATTATTCACCCTGTGGATACACCTTGGGGGACACCCCGGATTTTCAGGCCGTAGACAGACCTGAGAGCCACCCGCCCAGAGAGAAAGAACTCGGGGAAGCCCAGCCCGTCCCCGTCATCACAGGGTCGGGGACCCGTTTGCGAACTTCCCGGGAGAGAGACGCACCCGCCTGGCATTTCCGGACGATCCGGAGGGGCCGAGGAATCAAACTGGACGTGCGGTGGCTCCCGGGGCTGAAAGGCGAAGAACTCGGTGCTTCTACAATTTCCCTATGATCCGGTCAGGCCTTGGGCATCCGAGTGGCTGGCGTTGTTTTAATGGCACATCCCCTCCCCACCTTGCCCGCTGCCCTGGCCGTGGCATTCCTCCGCCCACACAGGCTGCAGCGAAGTCCTCTCCCGCCCGGCTCACCTGGAATCAGCGGCCTAATCACACCCACAGATGGCAGAGGCCGCGGGGCCGGGAGGAGCCGCTATCACTTAAATCACCTCTCGGGTTTCAGGGCACCGTCAGCGGTGGCTCCCGGCAGCGGTATCTCCCGGTGCAGCTGACACCAGCCCCTAATCACCGCAGAGCCCCTGGTTCAGGGCAGAGTTGGTGTCATTCGAGAGCTAATTACAAAGAACCCCGGTGGCAAGGCGAAGGCGAGGCGATTCATTCAACGAGGGCTGGCACTCACGAGAAGGAGCACGCCACTCACAGCCCATCTATTCTACCCGGCACTGGGCACTGAGCACAGCACTGAGTACTGGGCACCGGGCACCGGGCACTGGGCACTGGGCGGGGACTGGACAGTGGAGCTGGCGTTCAGGATCAAAACCCGGAGGTCTGCCCTGACAGGTGTGGCTCAGTGGTTAGAGTGTGGGCTTGCAGACCAAAGGATCTCAGGTTTGATTCCAGTCAAGGGCACGAACCTCGGTTGCAGGCTCCTCCCCAGCCCAGGGCCTGGTCGGGGTGCCAGTGGGAGGCAACCCATTGATGTTTCTCTCCCATCGATGTCTCTCTCTCCCTAAAAACCAATGGAAATATCCTCAGTTGAGGATTAAAAAGAGAGAAGGAGAAAACCCAGAGGTCTGGCCGGCAGCCCTGTGACTCAGAGACAGGGACCCGCTCGCCCAGCCTGCTTGTGACGAAAGCTCCGCCTTGCTGCCACGTTATTACGTCCCAAGTCTCGGGTTAGCACACTGATCGTCCGGGTAGGCCTGGTACGGATCGCCAGGGCAACGCCACCACAACCGGGCTGGCAGAATCAGGTGTCCCCCAACCAGTAGCCGTGACACCCCCATGCGGGCACTGCTTCAGAGCCGCCTGCGCACCCCGCCCCCACCACCCCCGGGCACAGGCTGAGCTGTGATCGGACAGGCAGCAGGCCCACAGCTGAATCCAGCCCCGCCTTTTGCTCCCTGATCGGCACATTTCCACTCAATAAAGCGGGAAAACTCTTCTCTCCGCCCCGTCGGGTCGTGGGGTGGGGGGAGGGCGCCGACGGAGCCGGCAGCCCCGACAGGACAGACCTCATCGCCGAGGCCACCGTGTCTTTCGCTGCCTCCCCTGCCGGAGCCAGAGGGTTCATGGGAAGCGGGGATGTTCTCCGAGCCCAGGCTTTGCTATTAACTACAACGACCTCGTTAGCAGCAGGTGCGGGTCAGAGGAGAGCGCCCACGCACCATCACCGCTGTCCTGTGAGCAGCACCCCTCACCGGGAGCCCATCTGGGAGACCTGTGCCTGGGAACCCCGGGGCCAGTGGTTCTCACTCCTGAGGGCACCCGAGTCCCCCCCCCCCCCCCCCAGTTTCTCTGCAGCAGGTCTGGGCGGGCCTGGGAATGCTCATTCCCACAAGTTCTCGGTGACGCTGATGCGAGAGCCACGCCCAGACCTGCTCGAGCCAGGAAGGAACGTCTGTCAAAACCAAAGCACCCCCTTTCTGCCCACGCGGCCGGGAGACGGGGAGAAACCCAGGGCCCTGCGCCCGACAGAGCGTGTCTCCTCTTCCCCTGAAAAGCCCTGGGCTGCCTGAGTCGCGATTGTCTGTGACTGAGGCCTTGCTCAGGTTTATTCGACGACTAACACCCTTTGGAGGAAACGCGGGATATAAACCCACACGACAAAGGCCGGAGACGGACATACAGTCACCCTGGGACCCTCCCGGCCGTGCTATTGGGAAACGCAGCCAACTCTAGATTTTATCTTCTTTACTGAACACTCCCAGGTGCTTCTCTGACCATCGTACAAATACGAACTCAACAAATCCTCGTGGAAAGTCCGTCGGGTGTCGTTACCGTTCCCATGTGACAGCTGAAGACGCTGAGGCACCGAATCGGAGGACCTGCCGGGCGCCCGACTCCGAAGAGGTGGCCGAGGGCTGAACCCAGGCTGTCCGCTCCGGTGGCCACGCTCTCGCTCACCCGCCCAGGCCTCCGCGGCCGATGCTTGGGAGTCACTGCCTTCCGCAAGCAAGTGGCTCTCACGGCCTTTTCTCCCTGCGACCTAAGGCGCACTGTCCTCGCTCTGCACAGCACAAGGGCGTTTAAAAGCCATTAAGGCCCTGGCTGGTTTGGCTCAGTGGATGGAGCGTCGGCCTGCGGACTGAAGGGTCCCGGGTTCGATTCCGGTCAAGGGCATGTACCTTGGTTGCAGGCACATCCCCAGTAGGGGGTGTGCAGGAGGCAGCTGATCAATGTTTCTCTCTCATCGATGTTTCTAACTCTCTATTCCTCTCCCTTCCTCTCTGTAAAAAATCAATAAAATATATTAAAATAAAATAAAAAAGCCATTAAGATGCCTCAGCACCACCCAGGTCATGCCTTTTCTTTTCCTTTTCTTTTTTATTGATCTCAGAGAGGCAGGGAGAGGGAGAGAGAGAGAAACATCAACGATGAGAGAGAATCATTGATGGGCTGCCTCCTGCACGCCCCCCACTGGGGATGGAGCCCGCCACCCGGGCACGTGCCCGACCGGGAACCGAACTGAGGCCTCCTGGTTCCTGGGTCGATGCTCAGCCCCTGAGCCGCCCCGGCCGGGCCCAGACCATCCTCTGTGATGGGACCACCCTCAACCTGGCAGGATGGCTGAGCAGCCAGCGCCTTTGGCCTCTACCCACACCACCCCCTCCACTGTACGGCCCCCACACCACCCCCTCACCTGTCCGGCCCCCACACGTGGCCACGTGGCCCCCAGGGGAGCGGAGAAGGCGAGTCCCCACCGTGGAGGCCGTGGGGCCAGCCAAGCACCAGCAGAGAAACCCAGGCCACGGGAGAGTGCGCGACGCCAAAGGGACAGAGGAAACCGAGGGAAGTCACCGAGCTCCCGGGAGAGCGGCCCACGGGCCGGAAAGAAAGACAGACAGTGAGGAGGTGGGCAGTGAGACTGGTTTATTCGCAGGTTCGAGAGCCAGGAGAGCAGACACAGCGGAGAGGGCGCGGGGTCGCGAAGCAGCGGCAGCAGAAGGCGGCGGGGCCGGCGCTCCTCGCGGGGCCGCGTTACTTACTCTTGTGGCTGCTCTCGCTGGCCACGTCCTCGGAGCCGTCCGCGTCGTCCTCGTCATCCCCGGAGGAGATGGCATCTGCACGCGAGAGAACAACCCAGGTCGTGTCGGGGCCGAGCCGAGGCGCCGTCCCCGCGACACGGCCCGAGGGGCAGGGACGCCGCCCACCGGGGGCCGCGACGCCGCGACCCGGGACGCGTGAGGGCGAGGCGTCTCCACGGCCCCGCTGCTCTCTCCCGGGGCCGGTCGTGCCCCCCGGACCCCCGGGCCTTCTGCTCTCGCACTAGTGACACGAGTGGAAACTGGGCCTGGGCAGCTGGATCTTGACGCTCCAAATGGTATTCGCGTCCCCAGCAAATTCACCGACTCCCTCAACCCACAGACGCTTCCCAGCAAAGCCCGGCAGCGCTCCGGGCCCCCCAGGAAGGGGTTCGTCCCTAGACACGCAGCCTCCCTGGGGCCTTCGCCCGTTCCCTAACGTTCTGAAAACAGAACTTGGTTTTTTTATTTTTTAAATATATTTTTATTCATTTCAGAGAGGAAGGGAGAGGAAGAGAGAGAGAAACATCCATGATGAGAGAGAATCATTGGTCGGCTGCCTCCTGCACGCCCCACACTGGGGATCGAGCCCGCAACCCAGGCCTGTGCCCTTGGCGGGAATCGAACCCGGGACCCTTCAGTCCACAGGCTGACACGCTACTCACCGAGCCAAACCGGCTGGGGCTGAAAACAGAACTTTAAATCGGCCATGGAGCAGGCCTCACAGCCCACCCCCCTCCCACCCCCCATCCCCCCTCACTGCAGGAGAGAAAAATCCAGGAGAGACACTCAAAGTTTGAGAAAATGAACCCGAAAACATCAGCATCCAAATTTCAATCCTGTGTTCAAAATGCCAAGGATGCCGTTGGGGGCTGGGGGGTGGGGGGCTGGGGGTGGGGGGTTGGGGGGTGGGGGGCAGGGGCTTCCTTCTGTAAAAGTGCGCTGTCTCCCAAGAAAAGCGTCACTTGGCACGAGAATCCAGTCATGTTGCTGCGAATCCTCACCTGAGGATATTTTTCCATTGACTTTTAATGAGTGGAAGGAGGGAGGGAGACACATCCATTGGCTGCCTCCCGCACGCGCCCTGACCAGGGCACAGATCAAACCCGGGACACGTCAGTCCACGGGCCCACGCTCTACCCACTGAGCAGCACCGGACAGGATGAGAATCCGTCGTTTTTAATGACCAGCCTCCCTAGTCCCCAGAAAGAATTTCCAAAGCAGGCGACGAGCCGCACTGAAGCTCTGTGCCTGATCCACGGCAGGTCCCACCGCAGCGCGACTTCCCAATAAAACGTTACCCAGAGCCCGTGGGACGCGTGGCTCAGGGGTGAGCGTCGACCTGGGAACCAGGAGGTCAGGGTGCGATGCCCGGTCAGGGCACAGGCCCGGGTTGCGGCTCAATCCCCAGTGTGGGCCGTGCAGGAGGCAGTCGATCCATGATTCTCTCTCATCATGGATGTTTCTCTCTCTCCCTCTCCCTCTCTCTCTGAAATCGAGAGAAATATATGAACTTTTAAATTTTACACAGAAAACGCTACGGAGAAGAGAGAGCAGGGGCCCGAGGCCCACTCACCTGTGACATTCACCATGAAGTAGCCAGTCTCACTGTCCACTGTCCTAGCAGCCGTACACGCATAGAGGCCAGAGTCTCTGGGTGTGGCGCCCTTTATCTGCAAGTACTCCCCAATAAGCACTGTCCTATTGTTGGGCCCCAAGTGCACCCCATCCTTAGTCCAACTGATTCGAGCGGCATCTCTCAGCCGGCAGCGCAACTCTAGCGACTCCCCGGGCGCAGCCACATACACGTCGGGCTGGGAGATTTGGTATTTGGTTGGCGGCTCTGCAGAGGGTGGGAGAGGAGGCGGGAGAGAGTGGAGAGGAGGCGGGAGAGGAGGCGGAGAGAGTGGAGAGGAGGCGGAGACAATGGAGAGGAGGCGGAGAGAGTGGAGAGGAGGCGGAGACAATGGAGAGGAGGCGGAGACAATGGAGAGGAGGCGGAGACAGTGGAGAGGAGGCGGAGAGAGTGGAGAGGAGGCGGAGACAATGGAGAGGAGGCGGAGACAATGGAGAGGAGGCGGAGACAGTGGAGAGGAGGCGGAGAGAGTGGAGAGGAGGCGGAGAGAGTGGAGAGGAGGCGGAGACAGTGGAGAGGAGGCGGAGAGAGTGGAGAGGAGGCGGGAGAGGAGGCGGAGACAATGGAGAGGAGACGGAGACAGTGGAGAGGAGGCGGAGACAGTGGAGAGGAGGCGGAGAGAGTGGAGAGGAGGCGGAGAGAGTGGAGAGGAGACGGAGACAGTGGAGAGGAGGCGGGAGAGGAGGCGGAGAGAGTGGAGAGGAGGCGGAGACAATGGAGAGGAGGCAGAGAGAGTGGAGAGGAGGCGGAGACAGTGGAGAGGAGGCGGAGACAGTGGAGAGGAGGCGGAGAGAGTGGAGAGGAGGCGGAGACAGTGGAGAGGAGGCGGAGACAGTGGAGAGGAGGCGGAGACAGTGGAGAGGAGGCGGAGAGAGTGGAGAGGAGGCGGAGACAGTGGAGAGGAGGCGGAGACAGTGGAGAGGAGGCGGAGAGAGTGGAGAGGAGGCGGGAGAGGAGGCGGAGACAGTGGAGAGGAGGCGGAGAGAGTGGAGAGGAGGCGGAGACAGTGGAGAGGAGGCGGAAACAGGGGAGAGGAGGCGGAGACAATGGAGAGGAGGCGGAGACAGTGGAGAGGAGGCGGGAGAGGAGGCGGAGACAGTGGAGAGGAGACGGAGACAGTGGAGAGGAGGCGGAGAGAGTGGAGAGGAGGCGGAGACAGTGGAGAGGAGGCGGAGACAGTGGAGAGGAGGCGGAGACAGTGGAGAGGAGGCGGAGAGAGTGGAGAGGAGGCGGAGACAGTGGAGAGGAGGCGGGAGAGGAGGCGGAGAGAGTGGAGAGGAGGCGGAGACAGTGGAGAGGAGGCGGAGAGAGTGGAGAGGAGGCGGAGACAATGGAGAGGAGGCGGAGACAGTGGAGAGGAGGCGGAGAGAGTGGAGAGGAGGCGGAGAGAGTGGAGAGGAGGCGGAGAGAGTGGAGAGGAGGCGGAGACAGTGGAGAGGAGGCGGAGAGAGTGGAGAGGAGGCGGAGACAGTGGAGAGGAGGCGGAGACAGTGGAGAGGAGGCGGAGACAGTGGAGAGGAGGCGGAGACAGTGGAGAGGAGGCGGAGAGAGTGGAGAGGAGGCGGAGACAGTGGAGAGGAGGCGGAGACAATGGAGAGGAGGCGGGAGAGGAGGCGGAGACAGTGGAGAGGAGGCGGAGACAGTGGAGAGGAGGCGGGAGAGGAGGCGGAGACAGTGGAGAGGAGGCGGGAGAGGAGGCGGGAGAGGAGGCGGGAGAGGAGGCGGAGACAGTGGAGAGGAGGCGGAGGGAGGAGGCGGGGGAGGAGGCGGAGAGAGGAAGAGGAGGGAGGGAGGAAGAGGAGAGAACGTCCAACACGGTCAGTGGAGTCCCCATATTCCCGGGAGAGCAGGTCTCATTGGCAAAGGGCCCCAGCAGGCTGGCCTCTCCCTGCCACCCTAGGAGCCAGCACCCCTAGGAGCCAGCACCCCAGGAGCCAGCACCCCCAGAAGCCAGGACCCCCAGGAGCCAGCACCCCAGGAGCCAGCACCCCCAGAAGCCAGGACCCCCAGGAGCCAGCACCCCAGGAGCCAGCACCCCCAGAAGCCAGGACCCCAGGAACCAGTACCCCAGGAGCCAGCACCCCTAGGAGCCAGCACCCCAGGAGCCAGCACCCCAGTAGCCAGCACCCCTAGGATCCAGCACCCCAGGAGCCAGCACCCCCAGAAGCCAGCACCCCCAGGAGCCAGCACCCCAGGAGCTAGCACCCCAGGAGCCAGCACCCCCAGAAGCCAGGACCCCCAGGAGCCAGCACCCCAGGAGCCAGGACCCCCAGGAGCCAGGACCCCAAGAGGTAGCACCCCAGGAGCCTGCACCCCTAGGAGCCAGCACCCCAGGAGCCAGCAACCCCAGGAGCCAGGACCCCCAGGAGCCAGCACCCCCAGAAGCCAGGACCCCCAGGAGCCAGCACCCCTAGGATCCAGGACCCCCAGGAGCCAGCACCCCAGGAGCCAGCACCCCCAGGAGCCAGCAACCCTAGGAGCCAGCACCCCAGGAGCCAGGACCCCCAGGAGCCAGCACCCCTAGGAGCCAGGACCCCCAGGAGCCAGCATCCCCAGGAGCCAGCACCCCTAGGATCCAGGACCCCCAGGACCCAGCAACCCCAGGACCCAGCAACCCAAGGAGCCAGCACCCCAGGAGCCAGGACCCCCAGGAGCCAGCATCCCCAGGAGCCAGCACCCCCAGAAGCCACGACCCCCAGGAGCCAGCACCCCAGGAGCCAGGACCCCCAGGAGCCAGCACCCTAGGAGCCAGCACCCCAGGAGCCAGCACCCCCAGGAGCCAGCACAGGGCCCTCAGGCAGAGCTGAGGGTCTGAAGCAGGAACTCGAGGGAGACCTACAGAAGCTGCCCCACAGTGACCATCACCACAGGCCCGACCAGAACCCAAGACCCAGCGCGGACGGACATTGGACAAGGACGTTGGACAAGGACATGCCACCCACAGCCTGCGTGCACTGTGATCCGGAGATTGCACTCACATTGCACTTCCTATGTGAGAATGTGTGTTTAACCAACACTTCCATTCAACATGACTGATGGCCGTGTCCACACGCACACACACGCATACACACACACACGCATTCACACACACACACACACACACACACGCACACACCCCTATTCACTGTGCTAGACTTTGTTGTCACAGAGCCCAGCTTCTGAACACACCTCAGACCCCAGACCAGCCGTGGGCAAACTACGGCCCGCGGGCCGGATCCGGCCCGTTTGAAATGAATAAAACTAAAAAAAAAAAAGACCGTACCCTTTTATGTAATGATGTTTACTTTGAATTTATATTAGTTCACACAAACACTCCATCCATGCTTTTGTTCCGGCCTCCGGTCCAGTTTAAGAACCCATTGTGGCCCTCGAGTCAAAAAGTTTGCCCACCGCTGCCCCAGACGCTGACGGGTCCGTCCGTGAAGCTGCCGCCTGGGTTCCCACAAGCTCCCAGGCTCCTGGGAACTGGCTGGACCGAAGGAGGGAGTCTGTGCTGGGCGAGCCGGGCGGGCCGTTTCTCTCAACACGATAAAAGCCTAGAGCCCCGAAGGCCAGAAGCACAAAGCAAAACGCCCCGGACGGCGAGAGGCGTTCTCCCTGGAGCCTCACCGGACCCCGACCCGAAGCCGGACCCTGACCCCGGCCGCCGCCAGCCTGCCCGACACGCCACGTGGGAAGCTGGCCCCTCCCCGCCCACCTCCGCATGCTGGCTCCAGCCGCTCGGCCTCTGCCTGTGCTCCCCTGCGGCTCCTCCCCTGGTCCTGCCTCCCTGCTAAGACCCCGCAGCCTGCCCCCCACCCGCCCCCCACGAGGCTGCCCTAACACCAAGTCCCTCCTGTGTCCTCTCATCATTGACGTTTCCATCTCTCGCTCCCTCTCCCACCCTCTCTAAAATCAATAAAAACATATTAAATACATAAATAAGATAAAAATAGCAGGATGAGGCGGGCGCCCCGGCAGCCGGTCAGAAAATGAGGGGGTCACCTGCAATGACCTGGTGCAGCGAGCGCCTGCCCTGAGCTGGGGCCCCGCCCCCTCCCCCCTAAAATCTCCTCAGGCCTTTGTTCCTGGGGGGCTGACGGGGGGCTGAACGGCTCCGACTGGGAGGAGAAGGAGCCTGAGGCGGATCGGGTGGGAGAGGTCATGACCTCGGTCCGGTGTGACATCACGCTGATGTCACCAGCTCTCAGCTGTACGCATCAACCGCTCGGAGACAGACTCTCGCTGCGTGAGGGGCTCTCGTGGGGCCCAGAGAACCTGGGTTTTCGGGGTTCCATCCCACCGTTCCGCCAGGTGCCCCGCGACGTCACCTCGGACGAGGGCTGAGCAGGGAGCGACTCCGGTGACTCTCGGCGGCCACACCAGCGCCAGCAGAGCTCGCGGTCCCTTTACGATGTTTGCCTACGAGCTTCTGCCGTGTGGTGTTTGAATGGCGCCCGAGTGCAAACAGAGGACAGATGGGAAGGCCGCGACCCGCCCGGTCCAATGGCTCCGTGGGGCGCAGACGACAGATTTAAACTGCGAGGGAAGGAGAAGGCAGTCGGGCCGACGGACACCTCCATGCATCGCATTCCACACACGGAGCCGTGGCACAGCTTCCATCCAGTTGGCATCAAAACTTACCCACAGGAGGAGAGAAAGGGCACGGCCGCCGGGCTCCGTGGCTGAGCATCGACCATGAGCCAGGAGGTCAGGGCTCGATTCCCGGGTGGCGAGCTCGATCCCCAGGAGGCAATCGATCCATGATTCTCTCATCATGGATGTTTCTCCCTCCCTCTCCCTTCCTCTCTAAAATCAATAAAAAAAATTTTTTTTTAAAAAAAGGAGATAAAGGCACTGATGCCCCCACAATCCTGTCAGAAGGGACGCCGTGACAAGAACAGACGTGCAGAGGAACAAAACCCTGGCAGCACACGGCGGCTTCGACGGAGAACACGCCTGCTCTTCGTGCGGGAGGGGGACACCGCGCTCCGCACACACAGAACACGGAAGCCTCCACCAAGAGCGTCGCCGGCAGGAGGACGGACAGAAGGGCGCCGGGCAGCCGGCCGGGAGCCAGTGGGTTGGAGAGTTGGCCCCATCTGCCGAGGCTGCAGGTTTGAGCCCAGTCGGGGCGCACACAGGTCGGGGCACACACAGGTCAGGGCGCACACAGGAGTCCCCAATGGCTGCCTGGGTCAGTGTGCACGCCGTGAGGAGCAGGACTG